CATTTTTATTATTTCAAAGCTTCCAAGAAAATTAAGTAACTCCTAAGGAGTTATGTCATTAAACAAATCAATCAGTTATTTGAAAGCTTCTAAAAACTGAACCCATTCATCTCCCAAAAAGATGCCAAGTCCTGAGCAGATGCCATCCTGAAGTTACCTCCAAGATGGCAAAAGGTAGTGGAACAAAATGGCATGGAGGTGACTGAATAAATCTCTGTACAAATATCTAGTCTTTAAAATTCACAATGCTACAAACTTTGTTTTGACTATATCTGTCTTCACTATTGAACACAAACGTATGGCATGTCACATTTCTTTGTAATTTGAAGAGTGACATTTTTAAACTGGAAAATTCTACTTGCAGTGAATGATATTATGATCATAGTAATATTCTTTTAAGGGAAACTTTTGTTCAATCTTTTGTGCTGTCCTATCTCTAGTCATCTTTAACTGAGAAAAGAAACTGGGTAATATTGAATAAGTATTTCCTACTTAATATTTTTGTAATTCCTTTTGTTAAAAATTATCATTATATGCTTTTCAATTTGAAAGGATGTGCTGGTCTGAATGTTAAAGCAGAAAAAAAATAATCCTTATTTTTAACTGGGAAAAAAATACTTGATTTTTTTTTTTTTTTTTTTTTTTTTTTTTTCTGATGCCAAATTTAAAAAAAAATTTTTTGTCATTCTTTTTACAGAATATTAGTATCACTTGGAGTAACAATGCAACATGGCCACAGTTCACACAATGTTTCCAAAACACCATTCTTATGTGGCTACCCTGTATCTGGCTATGGTGTTGTCTGCCTTTCTATTTGTACTTCATGTACAAACATTGCAGCAATACCATTCCTTACACTTGGATAAATATAAGCAAAAATGTAAGTATGCTCTCTTATTTACTTATATTGATAGTTATGTACAATAAACATTTTTATCTCTTTTTGCATTAAGCTATGAACTTAGTGGTATTGTATAAGTGATAAATTTTATATTTTGTCAATTACTGTTATTTGCATGCTTAATTTTTAATTAGGCAAAATATTCTCATGGGACTGATGTTTCTCACTTGTAATTATTAGTGTTTATTTATATTTTTAACCAGACCTATACTTTACAGTGATTAAATATTATTCTTTGATCACTCTAGATATATCTATAGGAAATTCTGTCATTCAGATTTTTTTTTATATTAAAAATCCAAATGTCCAAATTCAAGACAATAATAAAATAAAAACCTGAGTATGCCTATTAGATAAATCATTTGTATTTCTAAACATATTTACAGGAATTCAAGAGTTAAAAATTAATAAGGTCTTCAGTTGAGTTAGTTTTTTGGGTAGTTGGTCTACTGTAAAAAGCTGTAGTAGAAAATATTTTTATCATTAGCAAAGATTCACTGTCCAAGCTTTTGTTGTTGGACTCAATTCCTTTCAAGTTACCAACACTAGTTTCTTTCAGCACATGCTGTGTGGAGACAGTTGTGCTTTCCTCTGTTACTCAAATCAAAATCTGGATTTTTTTATAAGATTTTTTTCCCAAAAGTCAGGTTTTAGTTTTCTCCAATTGGTCAAATATTTCATATAGTGATGTCTATTTGTAACCAATACACACTTTGATTTAAATGGCGTGTGTTGTATTGTGGAATCTCTTTGGCATGTTTGTAATATTGTCTGTTATTGGGTAGAGAATAAAGTTTGGACATGTTTTAATGTTATATATGTGGTTATGTTATTTGTTTGGAAACAGGGTTTATTTCCTAGGGTAACTTCTAGTAACTCTGGTGTGCAACACCATGCTCTTAATAGTTTAGATGTACACCAATACATTGGACATTAAATCAAATAATATATGCAAGGACACCCACTTAATGCTAATTTTGTTATTGCTCTTATCAGAAGTTCAAGAGAAAAAATAGCATCTGAATGCTTTTTACTTTTGCCCTGTATCTATGAAATGTATCTAATGTTGCATTGATTTTATTGAAATTCTTTAGTGAGTTTAATTTAGTTTCAAATTCTAAACATAGATTTTTCTTCACAATTTCCATTTTCTGAAATGTCTGAGTTCAGTATAGAAGGTCAAATAGGGAACAATTAAAGTATGAAACATGTATTATGTCAGCCTTTTTACTGGAGGAAGTCTATAAAATCATTATTTGGCTCGAACAAAAATTTCTGACACTGGTAAGAAAATATGTAACAATTTCATCCATGACAAATAAAATACATTAAAAATAGTAAGGACTGATTTATTGAATGTAAATTTGCTATCAGTATGATTTGCCAACAAACTATTGGTAGAATCCAAACTGTATATACAAAGTAAATGTACTATGGACTCTTGTTGCTACTGCTTGTGAGCTTACTATTTAATGGTAGGTAATGGACTACTTAAAGTGCAAGTAAGATGTTAAGTCTATGGTGTAGAATTCACAAATTCCTTGTGCTTCTAAATAATGTTTTATAATATATATATATATAATATTGGTAAAAACTGCACTTGTGACCTTACCAACAAAAAGCCTGCCAAACAATTGCACTTAGTGACAAAAGAAAATAAAAACAAATAATAACCAAAGGAACCAACAAAAAAAAAAAAACAAAGTTGGGTGGGGAGATGAAACCCAGAAAGATGGTATTTATCAATCCACCCACAGGGATCGAATGTGGCACAAGGCCTTTTTAATGTGGGTATGTCTGAGCCTGTAGGCCCAGCCAAAAACAAAACCCATCTAAACCGTCCAAGCCGGGCTAGTTCCGTCAACCTCCCCGAACGAAACCCCACCCTTCGGGCGGAGTCATTCCGGGTTCCTCTCTGCAAGCAGAGAGTTCGACAGACACCCGACCCGGCAGCTCACAAAGCGCAGATACTACACTTTGATCCTAGCCACCGGGCCGAGCGGGTATTCTTTTTATAGGTACCCAGAAAGATAGGTGCAAAAACAGAAAACTACCTATGCAATGAGATGGTGTTAAGTGTCAAATCACTACTGTTTTTTGCAAATGCAATCATCAGAACACGCTGGTATACAAAATTTTTGGGCCACCTTGGTAAATTAATTACTTTAGTTAATTTTACTCCAAAACTAAGGATGATTAGCAGTATGTTTTTCTTGGTACATTTTATGATTTTTGAATACTGGAAAACCAGTTACTGCATTTTTATTGATTTATTTTTATGATAGATTTTAAGCATAGTGAGACTGAAAGAAGGCCATGCAAAAAATACTGTGCCACCAGGGAAAATTTTGTCTTTCATCTCTTTTCTTAAGTTAGTAATTAGTATTGCTTTCTTTGGCTTGGATAACTGCCTCAATTAATGTGGCATTGAATGGAACAAGGTTTACATTCCTCCTTAGGAATTTTTTACCTTTTTTGACAGTAATCCTAAAGCTCTTGGAGATTACATGGCTTTTTTTGGACCACATGTTCTTAATTTCCCACCACAATGGTATTGAGATCAGGACTTTGTACTATCCAGTCTTCCAAAAGTTGAACATCTTCATCCACTAGAAACCTTTTTGTTGCATGTGATGGGGCAAGGAGCACAGTCATGCTAAAAAAAATTTCTCCATCTTAATAGTCTGGAAGTTGATTAGACCATCAGTCAGTTATGTATCATGCATGATACATGCTTAGGTGATCATGTATCTTTCAATACATAACTGACGGGGCACATTTTCCCGCTGTATGTTGCCATTTCATTCTGCAGTAGATCACTTGCCATCCAAGGCTACAGAACCTGGTCTATACTGCTATTTGCCCATAGCTGGAGGGAGAAGAGGATTCATATCCTTTCCCAAGGGTATTAGCATGTAAGTGAATGTAATGGATTCGGCTGGAATTCGAACATTGCTCTCCGATTCCTCAATCCGAACTGCTAAAAATAATTTTTTTACCATTTAGGTTTCCATCAACTTTTAACAATTTTCTTCTATCATTGCTTTTGATGTAATTGTCAGTTTTTGTCATTGTCAAGTTTTACTGTTCTTGTGGTGTATCTTACATTTTTTTTTTTTTTTTTTGTTGGTCTTTTATATTCTTTTGCATTCATTATTAAAATTTACTTTTTGCCACTATCCAGCATTTTTCTTCCAATGTGTTTGTTTTTTGTTTTTTTTTTTTTTTTCTCACTCTCCATAAAACTCTCCATAGTGTATCAAGTGAAACCTCACTGTTAAGACAACATTACCTCCTCATTTGATTGGCTGTTAATTTGGGATTGCCTACTGAGACTCTCACAATCATTTTTTATTTCCCTTTTCTACCTTTCGTGATCTTCCAGTTTTCTTTGCACTTAAAACATTTCCAGTAGCAGCAAATGTCTTTTGATGGTTTGCACTATTCCTGGGAATTATTAGCTACCTGTCTGACTTTTGTTCAGTCATTTTCCCCTTCAAGGTCAACATCTTCATATTTTTCTTTTTCTTTTTTTTTTTTTTCCAGCAGAAATTTTAGCCATGACTTTAGTGTTACAGGAAAAAGAAAAAAAAAAGCTAATGCTCAACTACAATGATTTGCTAAGGCACCTTACACTCATGTTAATAAAATGGAATAATTCTTAGAAATTTGCATATTATCTGATCTTTCATTGACCAAATAGTTTTGTATGGCTTTTTTTCATTTTCAAGCTACTTAAAGCAATGTCTTGCTACATGGCACCCACAAAAACACAACTTATTTTCCAGTCCTCAAGAGCCATAGACACTAATAAATATGTCTTGCTAAGCAATCTTAATAAAATAATGGTGTATATAAATTTTTATGTGGTTGGCCCAAAACTTAGCATGTGTAAACCAGCAAGTGAGCTATTTGAAAGTACCTTGCACTAATGTTTCTCTTGTTCAGTAAAAAAAACAGTCCTGATACTCTTTATTCAATTATTTTTTTCTTAAATAACTATTTCAAGAATTTTAAACAAAATTTTCTCCAACTCTGTTGCTATAAATTTATATAATTCGTATGTTTTTTATTTCAGCTTTTCCTGTTATTTTTGATTATGATTAATATTGTTGATATTGTGGCTGTGTACAGTGCAGAAAGACTAGAAGCTCATGCTGTTAAAGCTCTTTATGTTGGATACAGCTGGAGACTTGCAACCTTTGTGAGCATTTAATTTTTTTCTTTTGTCATTTTCTTTGTTTTTTTTTTTTTTATGACTTGTGTATCAGTGCCAATATAAAAACTTAAATACAACAAAAAACATCAGTTCAGAAGATTTGAATTTGGCTGCTACAATTCTAAGTTCTTAGCTGGTACCATTGGTGTCATCCATATGGTGCATGTCCAGCTTGAAACTATAGTGGCCTGGTTCTTAGGGGTTAGAATGATTAACCAACATCAAGATTAATGAAGGATGATAATGACAAGGAAACACAGGTAATTTTAACAAAACAAGAATTTGCATGCTTGGAGTAGTGTTGGAAGCTTGTTTCAGGAAAATAAATCAGAATTCTTAAAGTCTGTAATTTTAATGCATTGTCATGAAGAGGAAATGTTTGTAAAACGGATTAAATGATCCAACACAAAATAATATTAAAAAAAATGTTTAAGACAATGGTAAGAGTTTGTTGCTCACTAAAGGGATATATGGTTTGCATACATTCAAGTCTACAGAGAAATACTCAACTTTCTTTGGTTGTTGAGAGAGAACTCTTTGAAGTGCTCTGTGCTGGTTAGAGGCTGACAATAATTTTACACCAGTAAGTACTTCAATGCTGATCGCAAGGAACTAAAATGAAACCTTTCATGTGACTTCAGATTCTCTTCTCTGATTAATTTAATTTTTCTCTTCATTTTATATCAAAAAGAAATTCGTATAGGCTCACTACTTTTCTCTTTGGCTGACTAGTTAATTTCTGTGACTGCAAGGTTTCCATAGGTCTAAAAACAATTTCCCATAGGCTCACAAATTCCTTTCCGTCTTGCTCAATCCTCTGAATTTGAAGGGAGTGGGTGAAAGGAGTTATTTCGCACTCACTACAAAACCTAACTGGAAGCAAATCAGATGCACATAATACAAATATTAATTTAAAAACCTGACAGGACTGAGAATATTATAAAAATTAGAATATGAGCTTTTACTATCTATTAGTGAAACAAATTTTGAGACTTCTACATCAGACAATCATTAATTTTTAGATTTCATTATCAATAATATACATGGAAAATACAATGTGCTTACATGTGTTAAAAAACAACTTATTAATTTATACTGATTTGTCAAATTTTGTAACCATTATACACTAAAAGGTTAATTTCTGTCATTATTACTGTTTGTTCTCTTTTAATCTCTGCCTGTCTTTTGTTTTGAGTGGATTCTCTGGTTTGTGAATGTGGAACACAAAACTTACCAAAAAGATATTAAATTTTAATTTGAACTGTTTGTATTTGATGTACTTGCATAATTAGTTCAAATTTGGTACTTATCTCGTAATTTCCTTTTTATTCTGCAAATTTATCTACATAGCTTGAAATGATTTTTTTTTTTTTTTTTTTTTTTCCTTCAGATTTTGGCTTTTCTTATTACAAATCTGGAAAAAAAAGTTGGCATCATTACTTCGGGTGTGAATTTCATCTTCTGGCTCTTGATAGTTATAACTGAAACGATTCCTTTGTACAGCAAAATCATCCAAAAGGTACATTTATATTACTTATTTAATACATAAAATATTGCTGAAATCAGATGTCTCCTCTTGTAATTGAATATTTAGACCACTTAAATACCCTGTTTATCAATTGCACATTGACTTGTCTTTATTAGACATTGCTGCAGTGTACTTTGTACCTGGGCCTAGGAGTCTAAAAGCAGGAAAAGAGATTCAAAAGAAACTTTTACTCTGATAAAACACATATTTGAGGCTCGTGATGTCTCTTTGCTTTGATAGATTTCTTTTTGTTTTTCTTCCTGTATCAATTATTATTCTGAATGAATTGACAAATATCTAAAATACGTGCATAGAAACAATCAACTTTTTAAAATTTATTTATGTCAAAATTCCATTCTAAAATCTTTGAGGTGATTGGAAAATATCTATTTACCAATTTCAATACATAAGTGGGGAGGATCTGCTTTATGAAGACTATTTTGCAGCATACTTTCAAATAGGGAGAGCTTTCTAGCTTAAGAATTAGTGATTGAACACCTGGCATCATTGCAAGTATTGTGTAATAATATCAGTATTGTTTTGTATCTGGTATTGGTATTTTATTTAATTTCTTATTTTTTTAAATAATTTTTTGATCAAACTGTTTCTTTAAGTAATATTTTTATATATATTTTTTCTCTTTCAGGAATATGAAGTTGATTCCTTACAATTTACACTATTTTGCTTGAGTTACAGTTTTTCTTTCATAGAACTCATCCTTTTTGCTTTTGCTGAAAAATATTCCATCTTTAGCCGTGGTTACATTGAACTACGATCAAATGAAGATATCAGCAGTGTAAGTAAATCCCACACACACATACACACACTTGTTGAAAATTTATATACTTGCTGGTTGGAAAACATTTTCCAATGGATTGGTGGGTGATCTGATAGAATACTGCAGATCTTGACTATCAGACCTAATCTTTCTTACATATAAATCTACCATTCTTCTTTGCTTTGAATATTGCTGCCATATCTGGTCTGGTGCCCCTGCTATATATTTAGAGATTCTTGATAAAAATCAAAGAATCTGCAATGTTATTGGTCCTGACCTGGCATTTTGGCTTCAGTTTCTTTCCCACTATTGTAACATAGCTTCTCGTCTATAAATGCTTTCATTTATGAATTTAAGGTAATTGTTTTTGAACTTCCCTAACAATTTCTTCTATCGGTACCTAGACTTTATGAATTTAAAATGTGTCAATACTAGATTGGTACAAGGCAAAAAGGGATCTCATCAATTTAGTTGAAATGGCTAGATATCCATACTTTCTTACTACAAACACCAAAATGCCTTCTATGCTAACAATTTCTTCTATGAATATATACAAATGACAAAATTTTCAAGAAACCAAATTTAGAGAAAAACCTCTTTTCCAGCTTCTTGCTTCCAGTCAACTTTGATCTTTAAAAATTAAAATGCAATGTCAATCATTATCTTCTATCTTGATTCTTATTCTATCTCCTTAATAAAAGTTTTCTCATTCTCTAACAGTAACCTCTTGTGTCCTAGTGGCTTTGTCTTGCTTGGGGTGAATTGATTAAAAACAAACAAGACTAAAAGTAATACAACTGTCTTTATATAGGAACTGCTTAAAAATGCCAGTCTATGTAGTTGCACACATCCAAGATTTTTTCCTTTCTTCTCTGATTTCTAGTTGTAACAAAAGTAACAAGATAAGGGTTATTAATTATTACAATTCTGCTACATTAACAAATTCAGCATTTGCATATGGTTGCAAGAGAAACAAACGAAAATAAAGTATTGCTGGTGAGGCAAAAAGAAAAGACAACATAATGTTAAAATATCTGTATTGCCAGTATAATGGATGAAGGTGAAAGGTTTCTTTTTGTGGGTGAGTGAAGCGACCTGGAAGAGGTGATTGTGTATAGGAACTTTTACTCAGGAGGCTACTGGTCTAGATGTTGCCATTTGGGTAGCTTCTTAAGCAGTCAGGATGGATACATGACTCGGTGGATGTTGTTTTTTTTAACCTGCTTTTGCTTTAGTGGCAATGTCTGCAACTAACTCCAATGTTTAGATTTTATTTTATGTTTTTTAGGGCTTTTTGTAAGCTGGATGCAATGCTTGGATCCCTTGTGCAGACATTGACTTTTTTACTTTTAATTGTGCTTTTGTAGTGTTCACATCTAGCAGACAGGTTTTGGGGTGGAATAGAAAGTGGCCTAATATGAAACACTATAACAATTTGAAGGGATGCTGAAAAATTCTTGCCTGAATCAGGAAAGGATTTTAAAAATTTGTGTTCTTACTTGCTCAGATTTTTGGGAAGTCCTGTTTTCAGAGTTTTATTTTTATTTCTATTTAATTTTTTTAACATTGTTTTCTTTACTATTAACGGTTTGTTTTTATTGGGGGGGGAGTAAAATTTGATTCACTGTTTAATTCTCTTTATATCTTCAAAGCAGCCGATCTGCGGGAGAATCAGCATGAACATTGGGCGCATAAGCCCCAATGAGGCGTAAAGCCTTATCCGATAGTAACATCCAGTCGCCAAAATGCCGGATCTCGAAGACAAGGGAACATGCAGCCTCTCTAAATTTCCTTTTACAACATAGTCCAAGTAGGCTTCCTTTCTATTATTGCTATTATTGTAATCTCCTTTTTACTAGCTTATTACTCTGTAAATTGACATTTTTTTTTCCATTTTAATATTTATCTATTCTTATATAGGTTATTTTTTTTTTTTTTTTTTTTTTTTTTTCACCCTGTGCTTAAAAAAATAATTTAACTAATTACAAGCATTTTGCCGGTGATTATATTAGGTGTCTTTTATTAAAATTACGTTGTAGGTAGTCAATGAGCAATTAACTCTTGCCCACCTTTCTCCACAAACTCTCTTATCTTTCCTCTCGCAACCATAGCTCTCTACTCTCATATTCTCTCAATGATAGATATTTTAAAGTAAAAAAAATATTTTTTTAAATTTTTTTTTTGTAACCTATCATAACAAATAGATTTCAATAAAATATATAGTTTTTTGTCTTGTCAATTGGCAATTATTTCAATAGAATAATTTGCATCATTCTTACATATTGCAGAACCCTTGCCCATTTGAAAGCAGTTCTTTCTTGAGCAGAATTCTCTTCAACTGGATTACAAAGTATGTTATTTTCCTTTATTTTGAGGGGACGACCTCCCTTTTTGGTTCAAATGGGATTTTGAAAATTTTTTTTTTTTTTTTTTTTTTCTCTTCAAACTGGAAACCTCTTGTGTCCTAGTGGCTTTGTCTTGTTGTTTAATTTCAAAACAAGACTAAAAGTAAAAACGTGGGTTAAAGTAAAATGTCTCTAAACATTTAACTTTAAACTTGCTCTTGAAATTTATTTGAAATTTGTTTACTCTAGTCTTGAGAATGATTGAAATTGAACTGCTTTTAAAATCGATGTTTTTTTTTTTAACCTGCTTTTGCTTTTATAAATCATGTTTTTTTTAGTTTTTTAGGCAGAATGTGTCTTTTTACTTTTTTAATTGTACTGAAAAGTTTTGGGGTGGAATAGTCTTAATGTAGATTTTACATGGAAATTAGAAATTTAATTCTGAAATCCTGATTTTTAAAATTTTAACATTTCAATTGAAATTTTAAAACCAGTTTTAATCAACTTTTCCAAAATTATACTCATCTAAATAAAGTATGAAAGAGACTAATAAATATATTTTTATTTATTTTTATTTTTTCACTCATCTTTACTGTTTCTTTGACAGATTGGTTTATACAGGCTACAAAAGGCCTCTGGATGAATTTGATTTGTGGGACTTTATTTTGTACCTCCCTTTTTAAATTTGAAAATTTTTTTTTTTTTTTTTTTTTTTTTTTTAAATCTCTTCAAACTGAAAGTTGTTTAATTTCAAAAAGCAAAACGTGGGTTAAAGTAAAATGTCTCCTAAACATTTAACTTTAAACTTGCTCTTGAAATTTATTTGATTTCTGCAATCTTCCCAAATTCAAAAGAGTGTGGGAGAGGGAAATAAATTGCAGGTAAGGTTCTTTCTTCTTGGTTTAATTTTTACATTGATAATGAATTTGCCAAAATAATAACCAGTTGATGTTTGACAAAGAAGTTCTTTGTATTCCAATGTTCCTTCTGCTAGAATTGATAATAAAGTATAATTTTAAGGATCTGATGCTCTATATGAGTTTATAAGTTTTTTTTAATATAATTCTTATGTCTGAAGCTTTGTTTACCGACAATAATCTGCTGACATGAAAATGTTCATATTTTAAACAGAAATTTGGTATCTCAAAAGTAGGATGGACAAGTTGCATTCCGCATCTTATTTTTCTAAGAGAGGAAATAAACATAGAATGTCAATTGTAGATACTTTCTTTGCATTTTCAGTGTCCATAGTTTTAAATCCTTTCACCCAGGCAAGGCAGTAAAGCTACAGAGACATAAGGAATGAGAGAAAATGAAAATACTTTGGTGAGGAGAAAGAACAATAAAGAAACAGGATTCAGGAAGACGAAAGATGGTGATTGACATTGCATTTAAATTTTTGAAGATTGTATGTCGGAGTTCTACAGCTGGGAAGTGCAAGAAACTATTAGAATAGAAATTAGTTACATTTTGCTATTTCAACAGTAAAACAATGAGACCTAGTTGCCAGTCTAGTAGTATGCTTAAATTCATACAATTGACTTACCAAGGAGAAAAGCTCATTAGAACAACAGCTATGATTATCTGGTACAAATGTTAACACAAGTGGTTGGTTAAATGTGACAAAAACTTTTCATGTTCTTTCTTGCTTTCTCTCTCTTACCCACAAATTCTGCATTATTTACATTTGGGCTAATGTTTTCATCTTGATCATTACAACATTTTAGGTGTTGTATCTTCCAGTCTTCAAGTATCTGTTGGTTTCAGTAACCTTCATGGAATTTCAAGCTGTACTTTTTATGTAATCTAATAGAGCAGATTTTTTTTTTTTCTTACAATGATGTTCACCTTGTACAGGACCCAACAGCCACTCAAAGATGAGGATTAGAATAATAGGCACAATTTGTGGGAAAGATAATGGTGAACCCTAGACTTGAACACATTAAGATTGTATCAATTGGAGAAGCATCCACTGGAGTCAGATCCACAAAGCAGCAGTTTGTGGGAAGAAGTTGCTCAAGTGGAATTTGCATCTCACCAATGGGATGTGAATGGAATACAACGTGTCACATTGCAGATCATAAAGGTTAGGACTGATGGGTCTAAGTGTAGTTCATTTGAATATTTTGGAAAGCAATAGAGCAGCAAGATGCTTGTGACATTCATCTGTGAAAAAGTGTTTGTAGGGTGGGAAATAATTTGTCACCCACAAGGACATGGAGACATTTTTGAACTCTATTGAAACAGGAAAGTGTGGACTGGTCAGTTCCTGCCAATATATGGCAATGGTACTCCATTTTTGGCCTGATCTGGCTCTTGTAAAAGTAGATAGGTGTCCAGTACTGGTGTGGTACAAGGAAGACGTGACTTACCATGGAATTCGAAATGCGCGCAAACGTGTCTTGCCTGCAAAGTGATGACGAAAAGAAATATGGCCGCTTTTGAAGACACAATTTATGTGTGCCTATCTCGTCCAAAACGAGACGATATTTGCACACATGCAAATTTTGGCCGTCTTGGAATAGCATAAAAAAGCAGGGTGCCAGCAGCACCAAGTGTCAAGGAGTTATTCGGTGGGCTGGATGTAATAGTTGGACGTATGGATTGACAGACAGACAAAGAGGAAGTCTAAGTAGGCGTGACTGAGTTGGTGTCTGTTTCACAACTGCCCAGTGTAACGGCTGAGAAAGGGAGTCACGCAATCCATTTCCTTGAGGCGACCGAAGAAGAAAAAAAAAAAATAGCTGGCCTGCCGGCGAGTGACACACTGCACTTTTTGACAACCTCCCCCCCTCATCATTTAAACAAGCTATTTCAGCAGGTATGACGAAGGTTCACATATGCAGCGACATTATAAAACTATTTTCTGGCCAGGGTAATGTGGTGGCGTGACTAAAACAGGTCAGGCTGGTGGCAAGACTTCAGCAGGTTGATGATGTGGCTAGCCTGCTGCCATTGTACCTGGAGGGGGACGCACTAGCCCTCTACATGGAAATGGAGGAGAAAGATCAGAGAGATGTTGATCAGATTGAAGCCAGTCTGAAGGGCTGGGACAACGAAATGAAGGATACCCTCCTCTAGCGCATGGTATCTGAGACCTTGGACTCCGTGCAGTGAGATGATCCAGGCCCGTGGGGATTGGTGCATGGATGGCCGGGAGCTAAATGTGTGGGTCGATGTCAGTTCCCTGGCGATTGGAATAGCGTTAGAGCCACGAAACAGTGCTGGAGGATGCTTGCTGGCAGCGACCTAAATATGATGCTCAACATATCTACCTGGCTGAGCTGGATACCGTGTTGAAAGGCATCAATTTGGTACTCCAGTGGCAGAGCAAGTTGCTACACTGTAAAAACAGATTCCATTTGCGTGTACCACTGGGTATCGGATACTCTGACTGAGAGAGCGCGAATACACACCAAATGAAATGCTCATCAGGAGGTGGCTGAACATTCTCAAGGAGCTCGTGGAAGAATATCAGCTGACTGTGGACGTGACACTGGTCCCATCGACTCTGAATATAACTGATCGACTGACAAGAGTACCGCAATGATGGTTTGACGCAATGAAGCAAAGCAATGGACCCGGGCCACTGATTGGCGCCATCCATGTGGACAAATTGGATGCAGACCAAATCATGTCCATCCACAGGAACAGTGGTCATCCAGGAGTGTGGTGCACTACCTACTTCGCCAGGAGAGTCTGGAAGAAAAAAAAAATAGCTGGCCTGCCGGCGAGTGATTCACTGCACTTTTTGACCCCCCCCCTCATCACCATTTTTTTTTTTTTTTTTTTTCTCGTACACCTTTGGTCTTGACTAGGTCAGGAACTTGAGAGTACTAGATGAATAGACCTATATAAAATATACGCTTTACTTTACAAATACTACTAGAGATTTATAAGACTTCATATTGCGTTATTTTGCTCGCTGGGGTAGACTGTTCTAGTTCCATATGCCATGTCTAATGGATGTCAGTTATCTCCTGTTAATTCACCTCTCCAAGTTCTCCAATGCCTTTATCCACTGTGCCATGTGACCTTAAGGACACATGGCACAGTGGACAGTAGTCCGAATAATGTAAATAGTGTACATAATACCTCCTCTCAAATATAGACAGAAATGCTCATACTTTCTGTATTTTGAAATCTTTCTAATTTGATTTATTTTATTTTTGTCTTTAATAGAAAACGGAAGGCTACAGAATCTAAATGTACAGAGCAGACGCACCTACTTGCTGATGAGGCACAGTCTATGTACACAGAAATCAGGCCAACAAAGGAGGAAAAAAATAAATTACCATCTTTATTAATGGCAATGCTTAAAACTTATTGGCCAGAGTTACTTTTTGCTCAATTTCTCAAATTGATTTATGACTTGCTGCAGTTTGTTAATCCAGTCATACTAAGGTTAGTAGCTATACAGTTTATTTTATTTATTTTTTCTAATTTATTGCTTCTATTTTTCAAGGGTTGTACTGTTTTAAGGAAAAACAACCTTATATTTGAGTGGAAATAAATATGTAATGATATCCAATCAGTTAAATTTTCATATTTGTGTTTTATTATAAACTGCATTCTATTTAAAACATTTTAAAAGAATTCGGTTATAAATTGATGCAATATACCTTACTGCAATTCTACCAAAAGCTTTTTGCCTTTTAAGTAACTGATTATAATTTTAAGTGACAAGTTTTCTAATATTTTCCTCAAATATGAAAATATATCTATGCATAAAGACAAACCTTAAACTATATGCTTTTCTGTTGGAAAATTTATAGGGTTATAGGAAACTTTCAGAATTTTTCAAATCTTTTCAAGAAACAGAATAACTGACAATTCTGGAAAGTAAAGTTTATTATGTTGCTAATTCTAGTAACAGTGAAATAAGATTTTTCCAGTCTTCTACTATTCAAAACCAAAAATGAGGTGAAATGCATTTCACTTTTCTACTGTCCAATAAACCAAGGTTTGGTGGGTTTGTATGTTCTGAAGTGGAAACATTGCTTATCAATTTGTTTTCTTGGTATATCTGTCTGATAGCAGTGAATTTTAAGGGAAAATTCTCTTGCATATTTATTCTACCCAAAAATTGATTGGGGGTCAAAAAAATTCAAATCTTGTGGTGAGATAGTTATGTGGAAGTGTGTGTTGCTTTGTTTCCTCCATTTCCAATCTTTCCAATGTTTTGGAATTCTAAAATTCCTTGTTTTAACATGGCTTTAAATATTCTAATTACTTAAATAAATAAATCATTTGATTTTTGATATGGTTTATCAACCCTTTCGGGGTTATTTAAAACCAACACCTTTAAGAGGTTGCTACATTTGTATGTAGATGGTAACGGTCAAACATTGTCTTTTTAATTCATTTGGACAAATTTCATTCTTGTATTTTAACTACTATACTTTCTGACTTTCCTCAGTTCCATTTTGAAATGTTAAGCTTTGTTTTGAGATGCTGGTCTTTGAGTTATTGAAACTAATTCTTCCTGAATTAAATTTTGACAGCACTGTTTGAATATTCTTTGTGCTATTTCCCCTCAAGACATAGGTGATCATGGCTCTCCACAACTTCCTGTCCCTTGTAGCTATTCAAAAACTTTTGGTTATTTCTCCTAAGCCCTGATCTGCCATCCATTTAGTCAAGCTCGCTAAGTACGCTATGGGTTTTCCTCTGTCCCTCTTGCCCACAATCTGTCCTGTGAGTATCAGATTTTCCATGCTCTCCGTCCTCATTATGTGTCCTAGAAACCTCAACTGTTTCTTCCTGATGTTAAGTATTAGTTTCCTTTTTTGTTTCCATTTTCTCCAAAACTTTGTTGCTCACATGTTCAGTCTATGGTATCCATAGCATCCTTCTGTAGAACCACATTTCTGTTGCTTCAAGTCTCTTCATCTTTGAGATATCACGTAGCAGTTTAGTACTCTTTACCTTGTTTCTTGCAAGAATTTTTTTTTAGTACTCTGCTTAGCTTTTGGAATACTTCCTTGGCTATCCAATATGCCTTCAGATTTCAGTGTCACACTTTCTGTCCTGTTAAAACACTACCCAGATATTTAAATTTCTGCACTTGTTTGATTTTGATATCTTCAATTTGGGATCATACTTTTGCTAACAACCATGCATTCTGTATTCTTGCAGTTGATGTTTGATCCTTTCTTACTTTTCTTTCACTATCTTCTGTAGGAGTGTTTGTAGCTTGCTTTCTATGTCTGCTATCAACACTGTCATCTGCATACCTTGTGTTAAGATTGTGGCTGCCAATAATGAATCCTGGTAGAACTTCTCGTTCTCTCAGAATCACCTTATTATATGAGTTGAATAAGACTGGTGAGAACACACATCATCTTACACCCCTTTCTATTTTCATATATCTAGAAAATTTCTTTTCTATCCATATGCAGGCAGTTTGCTGCCAGTATATGTTCTTGATTAATCTAATATCCTTCCCAAATATATCCAGGTTGCTGAGCAGTTCCAATAAACCTTTGTGGCATACTTTATCAAATGTCTTTGTGTAATCTATAAAACACAGGTACATGTCCTTCTGCATTTGTATTGCTATTTTTGACAACATTCTGAGCATAAATATCACATTCCTTGTTCCAGTGTCTTTGAACCTGCACTGTTCCTGTCCTATTTCTGGTCAGATTTTACCATGTGCTCTATTCATTAGAATTTGGAAAAGTTTTGGAAAATGTCCAGAGTTCCCTTTATTTGCACCTGGCTTCTTAGGCAGTGCTATGAAAATAGATCTACTTTGGTCTTCTGGTATATCACCACTGTTGTGGATTTCATTTATTATTTCTGTGATCTTGACTATACTGAAATCGTCTAAGGCCTCCAGAATTACAGTTATGTCTAACCCTGCTGCTTTATTTTTGTTCAATTTGGCCGATGCAGATTCTACTTGAGATTTAATATTTCTGGTCTGTCGATATTTCTGTGTATTGCCAGTTGTTCTCTTTTATCGTGGAAGAGTTCTCTGATATATTAGTTTCATCTATGAAGTATTTTTTTTCTCTCGCTAATATCAACATTCTGCTTTTGGACTTTATTTTTGTTGATATTTAACCTGCTCATTTCTTGTTTTATATTTTTAACTGTCCACAGTGGTTTAATGTTCAAACATTCCATGTACCACTGATTGATTTATGCATAGAATATGCACTGATTATTTCATGTCTTTTTCTCTGATACTGTTCCATGTTTATTTTGACAAAAGTTCTATAGAAATTGCTGTACATCGTCTTTCTTTACCCATAATCGGTTTCTGATTTTTAAGTTTTCTTCCATAGACTACAGCTTTTTGATGTTTAAAAACTTATTCATGAGCATCTCCTATTTTTATTATTATTAACCTGTTATTTATTTTAATTAGTAGGTGGGCCACCTTATAAGTGTGTTACACATATTTTTGTTAAACCGAGTTCCAGAGTTCAGTCCAGGTGAACCTTCATCATTCAACAGCAATAACCATGTCAAAATCAAATAAAAACTTGTACAGATTTCAAATTTCACAATGTTTTATTTGGCACAGTTAATCATTTTATCTGTATTCTTTTTTTTTTTTTTTTTTTTTTCATGACATTTTGATTGATTAATGTTTTCTTTTCTCTTTTTCAAGTGCATTGATAACATACATTGAATTAAAAGATGAACCAGAATGGAAGGGTTATATTCTGATCCTTGGTCTCTTTTTGACTTCTCTGGTTCAGTCTTTATTCTACCATCAACATTTCTATTGGTCAGTTTCTTTGGGAATGAATCTGAAATCATCTTTAATTAATACAGTTTATCAAAAAGTAAGAAACTTTTTATAATTCACAGAAGAATACCTTCATTTTGAATTTTCCTTCTACAAATTTTTATCAATCTGCAACCTAATGAAGTTTTATGCAAGAAAATATTTAATTTTCAACATAATCTTTGTTTATGCACTTAACCCAACACTCCTTTATAGATTAAATATATTAATAAAATTTTGAATTAAATAATTTAACTGGTTATGGAATTATTTATCCATTTCCTTTGTTATTAAAACATTTAAAATCTCTAAAGAAAATACTGTAATTCACCATGTATAATACACATTTTTTTTTTTTTTTTTTTTTTTTTCTAAAAACTAATAAGCAAAATCAGGAGTGCATATTATGCACAGCTACAAAAATTTTTTAAAATAAAATGATTATCATAAAACTTAATTAGAATAATATTCTAAGTTTAAAACCATTTTTTTTTAAATAAGAGTAGGAAACACTTACTGTAATGAAATTGGGGAGGTACAATTTATAGGGTTTGATTACTAAACAAGGGGTGCATATTATACGTGAGTAGAAGCATTTTCCCACACTTTCAGCACAATTTAGGGGCGTGTATTATGGATGAAGGCATATTATACATGGTGAATTATGGTAAGTATTTTCAATGTTTTCTTTTATAAATCTAATGATTCTTGCAATTTATCAGGTAGAAAATATTGTGGGTAAAGAAAAACAAAACAAATTTAACCTGACCATTTAACTAGATGTAAATGTGTAGGACTCGCTTAGAAACTTAGGAGAAAATATGAAGCCTTTGTCAACAGAAATTATTCTATGAGGCATAATACCTTACAAATCATAAATTGCTATATTTTATCTCCTATTATGTGGTTTTTGTTTAGAAAATGCAGTTACAATGAGCAGCCTTGATGATGATAATAATAAAAAAAATATGCTACAGCCACCTTCATATTCTTTCAAAACTTACAAGAATTTTACATAAATTCAATCTTGTTCATCTCATGGTATACCATGTTAGTTACAATGGGTTACTATTATATGGCTTTACTTTTACTGTCATATTTGTTTTTGCTGTCTTGATCTTCAAAGCAATATCTGACTAGTTTGTGTAGAACCTATAACAATTACTAGCAGTAGAGCCCGGCGTTGCCCGGGGATGTAACAGTAATCGATAGATCAAGTATCAACCATCATAAAGACTGAAAAATAAAATTGACAAAGATTATTGTTTAAGGTTGATGGACACGCATGTCTTAATTAATTTTATTTTGTTTGTTTTCTTGTTTTTTTTGGTTTTTTTTTGTTTGTTTTTTTTGTTTTGTCTTTTTTTTACGAATTCGTCAAACTCAAACAAAAACATTGTTTTCAATCGTTATGAGTTTACCGATTGAATAGAATTTTATTATAAACAATTGTGTTGTAAATGAAAGCATTCTGAATGTAAAAATAAAGAAAAGTGTGCAAGACAATAAGAAACACTACCTGCCAAAAAAAAGTGACATTTTGTTGAAAAATGTAGGAAATCCGATCCCATATATAAACGAGCACACACACACAACCTGGGTTTTATAAGTATAACTCGATATGAGTTGTCCCCCTTTCATTAATGCCTCTTAATCGTGTTTTCAAATTGATTTCATGCAAAATAATTGTTTTTCCAATTTTTGGCGCTGTCAGAACCACCGCAAGGTAATTTTACGTAGTCCTGTGAAGTTTTGTTGAAATCGGTTGAAAAATGTAGGAAATCTGATCCAATATAGAAACGCACACACACACACACACACACACACACACACACACACACACACACAAAACTTGGGTTTTATAATAAGATTAACAATAGGAAAGAATGAAGAGCAAAAAAGCGGTAAACCTACATGGATATTAGATAAATTGGAATGAGATGTGCTCTTCAGTTACCTGAAGACAAATTTATTAAATTTATTTCTTGGCAATACTTAAATATGAAAACTATCTTCCATTCTATACACAGCAAAGGTGATAATTCACACGCTCTTCTTTTTTCTTTTTTCTTTTTTTTTTTTTTTTTTTTTTTTTTTTTTAAAGGCACCAAATAGTGCATGTTGGCCTAGACAAAAGGAAAAAAAAATGTAAAATTTGAGGCCAGTTTCGAAAGCTGTTGCATTCAGGCTTCTGTTGGCAATTGGAAATGTGTGCAGATGGCAAAAAAAACTGCATCAGTGCCAGTGTTAGTTATGTTTATTTTAAGTGTTTGTTTTAGGTTCTAGTCATTTCTTTTTGGTGAAAATGTTAAATACCAAGTGCTTCTGTGTTTATTTGCACTGGGCCCCTTATCACATCAACCTACAGATTATCAACTATATAAATATCATATCCCTTTATATGCTTGTAAATTTTTTTTTTCAGGCTCTAATAATAAATGCAGAGTCTCGGTCAAAATCAACAGTTGGAGAAATTGTTAATCTGATGTCCATTGATTGTGAACGCATCCAGAACTGTACGACTTATTTGTATGTAATGTGGTCAGCTCCTCTTCAGATAATCCTTTGTACTTACCTTCTTTGGCAAGAGGTTGGTGCTGCTACCCTATCTGGTTTGGCTGTTATGGTTCTTTTGATTCCTATTAATATCTTTACAACTGCAAAAACTCGTAAATACCAGGTAAAGCAGATGCTCTTTAAAGACAGTCGTCTTCGACTTATTAACGAAGTACTTGGAGGCATGAAAGTAAGTATGAAAGTGCTTTTTAATTTCATCAGTTTTTGAAAATATTGACTTCACTTTTAGCTCAGGAATTTGTTTTTTTAACTATTAAATATACAGCTATTTCTTTTTGGTCTTACTGCATAACTTTGAAAGTATAATATATACTAAAAATATACATTCTCTTGTGCTGTACCTTGGGTTGTCATCAAACTATTTTCCTCATAGCCATAAGATATGTTCATTCCATAACTTCAAGAAATATCTCAATTATTTATAACCAAATAATTTCTCAAGAGTTTCAAAGGGAATTTAATCTAAAATATGCTTTGATAGGATAAACTGAAGAAAAATAGTTTGACCTATTGAGAAAAAAAAAAAAAAAAAAAATAGATCTATCAGTATCCATTGAATTACTTACGAGCTTTGAAATGTTTTTCCAGAGAGTGATTACAATGATGAACTATGGTTGTATTTTCACTATGAAACAGCAACCGAAACATTTCACTAATAATCCTGTTATAATTGTGCTTGTCCTGCTTTGATTGGTTTGTGAGACCATTACACCCTGCCAATACCTCATAAATAATGAACTATTTATTTTGATTGCATGGAAAGAGAAAAGACACTACTTGGTTTCAGTGATAAAATGAAAGAGAAGATAGAAGTGGAGAGAGAATATCAGATTAAGCTGATAAGAACAGATACTACACTTATTAAAATAATGACCAGCATTCATATTTGATTCTTATTGCAATATTTTGCTATAGTTGTCAAGCTCAAATATTTAACAATGTAATAGGGAAATTTTATTGTTATAAAACTTGCCATGAGCTTATTCAATCGTTAACTGAAGAATTAAGATTCATCAGAAAATTAAAATAGGAAAACTGAAATTTTCAGTTTTTTAGTACTGCATAATTTTAACAGATAAGTATGATGGCACTTTTGTTTTCAATATTTGCTTTGAAATTAATCAAATTTGACAATGCTTCAACTAATTTAGATGTCATTGTTTTAAACTAGTTTGTTTAAACCAACTGTATGTCATTGAGAAAACTTGATAAGAAATATAGCTGTATTAAATTTTGCTTGCTTGGTTTGTTAGTTGGGTTCTGAAAGGTATGGGATGCATAATTAATTTTATGATTCATGTTGTCATAGAATGTAAAAATAACTTGAATTTTGCAACAAGAATAAGGTAAAAGAAAAACTAGGTAAAAGTTGCCTCTGTTTCATCAAAGAAATTCAAACAATTTGAGATTATTGCATTTACTATTAATACTTCTAAATAAGAAGCAAAAATATGAAAAGAAAAATTGTCTAAATTAATACAAATACCTAATCTAAGAAATGTGCACATTATATTTGTAATTTTATACATTTGCAACTAAGAATCAAAATAAATGAATTTTTAGTTATGTTAATTTTTTAATTCTATATATATTTTGTCTTCAGATCTTAAAGCTGTATGCTTGGGAAGGGTCCATGGAGAAAAAAGTTTTGAATATCCGGGATAAAGAATTGTCAGTTCTTAGCAAAGCTGCATATCTTAATGCTTTTTCTGCTTTCTGCTGGCAATGTGCACCATTTATTGTAAGTAGAACTGTTTTTTACAATTTATTTTGCATTATTAACATTGAATGACATTTTATCCCTGTCTAATTCTGTTCATTTAAAGCTTAAATTATACCTTTTCCAGCTTTTGAATTTTAGTTTGGCAAATTCAATTTTAACAAGGTAAATGAAATTGCCTTAAATCAATAAATTAAAAAATGTCTGTAGCTTTTGAGCTATAATTTTGTAGATAATAAATAAACAGATCTATTTATTCATGTTCCTTTGTTTGGTCAGGGTTCTTCACTAGGCTCTATATGGAAATGACTTCAAGAACTTTGAAAATTTCCACTAACATAGCTAGTGCCTAAAACCATGGATTGATATTAATACACATACTGAAGTGAGTGAAACACTATTTGACATTTTTGATTAAAATAAAGTATTTTTGTGTTAGGAGAACTGAAAAGTATAGCAACACTTGTTACAAAAACAAGAAAAAATTATAAGCTAAGGGAATGAAATGTTGCGCAATTGTTGATTTGATTGAGGAAACTGGCAACAGATTCAAGGATGCAAGAGAATTTGCAAAATTTTTGGTTCCATCAATAATTACCTTTTTTTTTAAACAATAAATTAGTTAACATACCTGAAATTACCTGATGTGTGTGTGTGTGTGTGTAACCTTGTATCACGTGTGTGTATATAAAACTTTGTATCATGTGTAAAACTTTGTATGTGTGTGTAGCCTTATATCAGGCCTGACAGCTGCATTTAAGCATGGAACACTGTTGCCACTGAGTGTTGACCTCAATGTCCTTTTATACTTATGCCCAATCCCTGACTTAAATATAACACGTGTAAACTATATTTTTATCATATATATTTTTTGCAAGCTTTCTGATAACTACTTCAATCATTTCCATTTAAAATTTTTGTGCTAAACTTTAGCATATAAATTCCAAACTGTCTTCAGTCCTTTACTTGAAACAAGGATATTTCTTGTATCTGTAGAATATCTTGTCATCCACTCCCAGAACAATCATTTCATTCACTCTTTATTTGAAAATTAAGTGCCTTGTAAGAAAACCTTGAGCAAAAATCTCTTTACATATCTGCTATCCCCATACAAAGAAAATTCCCATGAGATTATCTTGCTAATCTCTCCCAAGTGATTCCAGAATGCCTGCATTTATTGATATTAGGTAATTCTGAATCTTAAATGTATTTCTCTTAAAGTAATTTGACCTTTTACCAAATAGACGAAACTAATCTGACTGGTTGAACACTGGTGTTAGTTTTCAAATTAATCAATATCAAATAATTGTAAATTAGTATTTGCTTTTGAATCAGCCTAAGCAATATAGCAGTGTCCATATTGTGGCAACATGTTTTGAAATTAGATAGAATTTTGGAAAAGGATAGACTCTTATTGCATTTAATTTCTATAAAAACTTTATTTATTAAAAAAAAAAAATGCCTGAGCATAATTTTCTGAGGATCTATGTGATGGAGGTCTTTGTGTATATAGCATTACAAATTGTATTTAAATAGCGGTTATTTTCTAAATTCATAGAAACAAAGTATAAAAAGGGGTTACCTTGATTCTTTATTTAAATTTTTTTTTTAATTTTAAGGTATTTGCATTTTTCTTCCCTGTAGATTTCTCATTACTGATTTTTTTTTTTTTTTTTTTTTTTTTTTTTTTTTTTTTTTGTCTTAGTAATGTTTGCTTTGAAAATCTTCTTACCACTTTTCTTTGTATGTTATTTTGTTGGTGATTTCAGGTGACTGTAGTTACGTTTGCCACTTACGTCTTGCTTAAAGATGATCATTATATTGATGCCGAGACAGCCTTTGTATCTCTTTCTCTCTTTAATATCCTCAAACTACCTATCAACATGCTTCCAATGGCAATTCCATTCCTTATTCAAGTAAGCCTGTATTTATTTTCAGTTTCTATATAGCTTTAGCCCTTCCCACATAAAAAAAAAAGTACGTTTTTTTTTTTTTATTTTTTTTTTTTTATTTTTTTCTTTTGGTGAATTTTCTGTGTTTTGAGACAAATGATTCAATTATGCTGATTCCCAAAGAACAAATATTGCCAACATGGCAATTATCAGCACCTGCTTACTTTGGTTTATTATCTCTATCATATCGAGTGTATTTATAGTGTTGTAGGGTCCAAAATGTCTGTTAGACCTCACAAACGATAAGATTGAAGAAGTAACACAGGCCAAAGCAAGGATAATGAGAACAAGGAGTTTAGAAAAAAATATGCCAAAATTTTAAAAAAAAAACAAATATCAAAATATTATCAAAGAATACAAATCTTTCAAACACTCTGGGTGGCTGTAATGGTAGTTAATTGTTGGTCTTAAATGCGACAACAGGTGATGTTGACTGGAGCAACATGAGAGGTGCTGAAGGTTGATAAACAGTTGGTTTATTGGGTTGGTAAGGAATTAACAAACTCAAACAAATTGTTCAAGGTTAAATTGACAGTCCATTTGCTGAAAGAAAAATAACAGAATATCATCTCACTACAATAATAGTCTTGCTATTTCAAATAATTTTTTTTTTTTTCTCTAAATATTTCTGAAAACATGAACTTTTGAAAACAGCCTTTGATTTTTGTTCAAAATTTCTTGTATCATGCACAGTAAATTTAACACAAAACAGGATGTTGGTCACTGTTGCTTAGATCCTGGAAGTCTAACTTTAGATATAAGGAGATACAAATATTAAATCATTATATTTTTTTTTTTTTTTTTTTTTTTTTTCTGATACTTTTACTGTGGATATATTTATACACTTAAACATCTTTATGAAAATTGTATTTCCTGCTGTTGATGTATATAGAATGGTTTTGTTTACATACTAATATAGTATGGCTCTCTTGTCAAAGTGCAGGTAGAATCAGATGATTTTGATGTCCTGTGCCTGGCAGATCTTGACAGAAAAAGAGTAAAAGAACAGAATAGCATTCTTTATAATTGGCGCCAACATAGTCTGGCTAATGATTGGTTGGTTTGACGATATACGTGATCTCAGAGAGTGCAGTTTACCAAGGGCAACAACTGACTTGTGTAACATTTTTCTTATATAGTGTTATAAACTAGTGCTTACTGCGATTCTCAGGCCAGCATAAACATAATAATAAACTTGTCCTTTGATATCATATTGGCTTTTGGAGTATCATTTAGCTTAGTCAATACTGCAGAGTATCTGATCAAAGACAAAATGATGGTGTTCCTAAGAAATAAGTCAGTTTCTTTTATAGACATTACCAGTAAATGGCGATTTCTTATTTCTCAAAACTAACCAGTACAGCTTGGTAACAATACAGAAGTGAGTGTTAGATTGCTTATTTATTCAAATAAAAGCGATTTTTACTATGAAATTACTAAGTACCTTTCTAATTTGTTCATAAAACAGGAGTAAACAGAACTGGTGTTAATATTTGTGTATTTTGAAAATCTAATGATTTATATAATTGGCATTTAGAGCAATTTTTCTAATACCATTTTATGTTGAATGAAAAATTTTCAAAGAAATGCCTATGTATCACAGGAAAGAGATTCTTCCAATGCAACGTCATAGCATTGCCAGTCTTACATTAAGTCAACTTTTGAGTTAAGCTCATTTTGTAGAGGTTTTTGTCTTTTTCCCCCTAACGTGAGCATTATATATAAAAATCTTTTAATGATTTTAACCATGAAATTTGGAAATATCTTAAAGCAAACAAACAACTAAAAAAATATGTATATTTTTGTATAATGTGGTTTCTCTTATTTTTTTAAATTGGTTGCTCTGTCCTTAAAAATTGAGCTTATTGCTGTGTTTTTGTCATTTTCACCTTCAAGTAATACCTACAATAAACTTAAATGTATGATTGATGCATAATTACAGTATACAAAGTTGATAAGTCTAGCATGTATGTTTTTTAATACATTCCTTTTTGTCTTTTAGGCTCATGTAGCTGTTACCCGATTGACCAAATATTTGTCTGAAGATGAACTTACCAATTATGTTAATACTAATTTCTCATCTGATAGTAAGTGTTACATACATCATGTGTCGAGGAAGATAGTTTTAGTATTGTGAGTTTTCAATGTACATAACTTTTAAACCTATGTTTACCAAATACAAGAGCCACTCAAGTTAGAGGGTTGCCGAATGTTTTTATGACCATAAGGGGAGGTAAGAAGTACAGTTTATGAGATTGTGTAAGATAAGAGTTAACCCTAATCTTAAGGGTTAGGATTCTAGATTAGGTAAACATTCTCTTGGGAGTCTGTTCTAGGAAGATGTCTGTGTGGAACTTCCTAATTACTTATGACATATGAGGATAGGAGTTCCATGAGGTCTGAAGTGAGCTGGAGTCTTAATAGGCATCCAAGGCAAGGAGGTTCCTTTAGAGAGCAACCATCCATCATAAGTTCAGAATCAGCTCAGTGATGGTGGAACATTGCTAGTTTTTTTTTTTTTTTTTTTTTTTTTGGAGGTATTGAGAATAGATCAGCTACCAAGTCCTGGTCACTTAGATTTTTGAAAGTACACCTGTAAACTGTATCATCTGTATAGACACTCACTAAAGATCTGAGTCTCTCTCTCTCTCTCTCTCTGTAATTTCCATTAGTCTGTCCATCTGTCACCCTCTAAAATAGCTATACATTGTTTTGGGGAAAAGTGCAAACTGTTAAGGGAGTACAAAGTACAGTTGGTTTTGTTAGGGTGCGTAGCTTCATACAATAAATTCATCTATTTTTTTTTTTTTTTTTTTTTTTTTTTTTTTGCAGGGGGGTAAATTTTATTAACATACAAAATACTTCTACAATTTTAAAAAACAATGATTAAAATAAAAAAATACAATATTTTGGGGGGGGGGCTCCAGAAAGAAATATTTATACATGATCAATTGTATGTTGCATACTCAAGAGTAAGAAATCCTAAGAATTGTTTCCTGTTAAAAAGAAAAAAAAATTCATAAAAAATATTGTTTACCATGAAATCCTATAACATTAAGATAATTATTAAACTGCAAAATAGGGTTTTTGTCAAAGTATTTTTTCAAACAAATCAACTTTCATCGATTGGTTTGCGAAATTGAATGAAACTTAGTTTGTCAATCTCTACAAAAAATGATAGTGATAACTTCAACAATACTAAATACTGTGAGGATTTCAACACTTGTTGACATGTTGCAAAAAAAAACTCTACTTCTTAATATAAAGCAGAGAGAAATGCCATTGTTGGTCGTATAGGCTTCAGATTAACAATGACCTTCATGGCCCTACATGTTAGGAAAGATTTGATAGATGAATTTATTGTATATTGCCTCACTGATTTTATAATAACAGTTAAGACATCATCTGTGGAGCTAGCAGAGTGAAATCCATGCTGGTTATTGCCCAGTAGGTTGTTCCAGCTGACGTGTTTAACAACCTTCTTGTTGATTATAAACTCAAAGAGTTTGCTGATGACACTGGGAAGCTAATGGGTCAAAATAGAAGAGTGCTCACCTCCATTCTTAAAAATATGACATAGAGTTGAAACCTACCATAGATTTGGAAAACATTTTTCCATCAGGTAGTGATTACATGGTTTTGCAAAGATTGTAAAAAAAATAGCCACTAGCATTTTATTGAGACTGGTAACCTTCTTAAAATCAATAGATCAGAACTTGCAAAATTACAAATTATATGCATTCATTTTGTAAATTTAATTCTAAATTCTATGTAATAAGTGAATTCTCTGATTTTTTTTTTTATGAATTCTTTAACTCTTTTCCAGAGAATGTTTTTATTCCATTAATGCTTTTTATATTCATAATAGTATGTTGCAAACTGTTTAACTTCAAATAAAGTTAGCAGACACTAAAATCAATTAGTTTTCTCCTCTTCCACACACTATAAATTTTATGTTAAGTGTTGTAGCAATTTCAGATTCAGCATTTTTATTTCTTGTATAACTTAACTTTTTTTTTTTTTTTTTAATTAAAATTTTGTGATAAATATTTACATAATTAACAAACTGTATGAAAAAGATGACTAATATGATGCCATTCAAATATGATGGCTGATTTTGAAATATAAACCTTGAATTTTTATTCCAATTCTTACAACCTATTGTGAAATTTTATAGTTTGGCTTATTGTAACTTAACATTTTAGTGACGTTAATTTTTTTTTTTTTTTTTAAGTCTTGACTCTAACTTGTTTTTGAGTCAATAAGATATAACCTCAATCCTTTACATTGTCAGATACACAAAAGCAGAAACCTGGAGAAAACTATAGAAACTAAAATAGATCTTATTTCTAATAAAATTGGCTTTTATTTACTTTTATTTATTTTATTTTTAACTGCTCTAATCTCCTTCAGATATTGCAGTGAGGATAAAGAATGGTGAATTTTCCTGGGGAAAAAAATCGGCACCCATTTTGAGAAAGTAAGCTAATTTTTGGTTTTATGTATTACTAGCCAAATCAGCCACACCTTGCTGCATTTCACTTTTTGTAAGAAAATGATGTCTGATTTTAAATCATTGTTTCTTTCTTGTAAGTGGAACTGGATAAGTCTTTTGGTATAAAGTTCAATTATATATCAGGAGAGACCTGGAAAAAAGATTTCTTCTCCCATTTGTGTTTCCTCCTATTATGGGCATTATATCCATCATACAATAACACCATAGTTCATGGATGGAACTGAATAGCTGAAAGGAAAAGGAATGACAAACATGCTTTGTTCTCCGATTTTTATATCACTAAAACCTGCACAAAACTATACACCTGACCAATGTAGAGAAATTATCACATATATCTACATAGCAAACTGTGTGTAAGGAGAAATAAAAAGGAAGTCTTACATATAATATGGAGATTCTTCTGTGTTTCTGGAGAAACCATGGTTAGGAATGGGCTGGATTCATTTGTGTCCCAGGCAAGTACATATTTCATGAATGAGGAAACTGCAAATCTTGGGTTTTCCAAATTTGAGAACTTAGAGCATGATTTTTTTGCTATATCTGGGGAAGATATTCCCAAAAGGAAATGGCACCATGGACTTGTAAGCTGTAGCAGCTGGCTACCCTAGGTGGAAGCCCAGGCACGATGAAAAAAATGTCTTACTCACTGAATAACTGGCCACTTTCATCACTGTATGAAGTGATGTCACTATGCAGCAATCACATGACCCATGTGACCCATCTCCACCAAAGGGAGATAATCACCTTCTGTATTCTTGCATATACATGTTCCTAAGACCTCAAATGTAAATACACTAAAGGCCAAATTAACTGAATTTTTTCACTTTATCCACATTGTCTCTGCACACTTTTATTTGTTTAGTTTGTTTTGATTTGGTTTTGCTTTTATCTTTGTTTTTGTCAGCTTAAATTTGAGATTGCAATGTATTATAAAATATCCAATTATACTTTTATATATTTAGGAAAAATAGGACTTAGAAATTTAGTTTTATTTTGTAATTTGAATGTTTGTCTTTTCCCACCAACAAAAAAAGCATGGAACTTGCAGACTTATTAGTATTTTATTAGCACTGATGAAAATGGTGTTTGAGGTTTGTGATGAAATGTTTGTAAAGATAGAAAAAGCAATAAATATGAGGCTAGGGAACATAGTGCAGAAGCTTGTCTCTGCATAAAAAGGTGTTTAATCTAAATGAAAATTGCAGTAATAGGATTGAGGAGAGTAATATGGGGCTTAAAGCTAGCAAAGGATTGTGTGTGTGGTAATATTGGTCAGAGGAGAATTTTTGTTGGCTGATATAGAAGCAGCATTGAAGTTGCCAGATAACCACAAGAAATAATCATGGAAAAAGGATATCAAGCACAAACCTTCAACTGTGATGAAACTTTTTTTTTTTTTTTTTTTTTTAAGAAAATACTGAACATGCCAACAAGACTATCAGAATGATAGTCTTACTCTATTGCTATATAGCAATACAGGACATATGATCAAGCCAGACTTAGTGTACAGAACTGACAATTTTTTTTTTTTTTTTTAAGGGGACGAGTGAAAAAATGAAACCCAAGGCTTGAGTCATATTTTGTTCTTTGATTGGATCCACCAGTTACTTCATTCTTAAAATTAAATGTCTCAAGGTTGTCATTCAAAGTCAACATTGCTCTTGGCCATTTTGAATCCCTGATGTATGAAGATGAAGACATTTAAACATAGTTTCTACCTTCAGACATAATATCATTGTTGAATCCACTTGAAGACAATGTATATCTACTATGTCTTTGCCAGGATTTGTGTTGCACTTGATGCTACCTTTGAATACAGCATCATGGATTTCGTGACAAACCACATTGAATTCTAGCAACCATTTCCTCTCTTTGCACCAGGAAGGTTGTTATGACTTAATAAAAATCATTTCTAGGGTTTTTTTTATATAAGGTCTGTCTGGTATACAATTATTAAATTTTGTATTTCCCAACAAGATTTGTAATTGAGTTTATTTCTGAGTCTCAAGCTCAAATGTTAGACACATTATGCCTATGAGAAATCATTATGGAGCAAAGCAGTCAATGACTTTATGGACTTTTCTACTTTGAATTGAGAAGAGGTTGCCAGGGAACCTGTTGGAGAAAGTCTTCTGACACGATTAGAGAAGACCTTGAATATATTGAAGAACACAATCCTCCTTGAATGGAAAAATTTATGAAGGTTTTTGTGGCTAAAGTTTATCAGTACAGATGTAAAAGAGGCACCAGATTATATGTGGACATGTCTGTCAAAACCAGTTACATCTGGGTTTTCCTCATTAGCAGCTGAACATTTTGGCATGTTCAGATACAGGCCTCTCTGCAACTTGTCAAGATTTGGGTTTCTTTTAACTGTTTGCTGTAAATAAGTGATGGGAGAATCCAGCAGGGGGATGTTAGCAAGACTTTTGTGAATTGTGTCCTGTGGGCATTTTGTTCCTAAAGTTGCTGTGCCACTTGCTATGCTGTGGTTTGAGGCAGGGTTATTTTATTAGTTTCTGTCTCTTTCCCTTCTCTGCCTATTACACCCGTAGTTCTTGGGAAAGCAATCGGTTAAGTGTTTCTCTCCACCTTAACATACCCTTGCCATATTTTTTACTAGGCCCAAATTTTGAAGGATATGATAAAGGATAATGACCCTTGACTGGTTTAAAGACTACATAGTTGTAGTGAAAAGGTTGTGAACTTTTAATTTCTTCTGGCTTTTAAACAATTCCCAGAAACCATTTCTTCTCAAACACTCTATTGACTAGTAGTGTTTGAGAAGAGTGTAGCCTCTTTGATACTGCAGTAACCATCCGACCTGCTGCCTCATTCTACCCATTTTTATCTCCTCATTCACAGCTAAAATTTACATATGTGAAAAGATAGATCCTGGAGTCAGATACTCTTTCAAGATTCTGTTTCAAATGTGTAACCCATGAAGGCACCATTATTTCCTTTTTTGGACAGTTTACATGTGAGGGAGGTTTGAATTTGTGTTCACCCTTGTGGCAAGTCATTTTCTTCTAGCTTTGCCCTCTGCAGTAGTTCACTACAATAGTATTAGTGCATTCACAACTGACCATGACCCATTGCAGTAACTGTTTGACAAAGCCAAGGGAAAGATTATTTATCTTTTTAATTTTTTTTTCTTTTTAACAAGACACCTGCAGTTGTAAGGCTTTATTCTACACTTGTCTCCTCAACCTATTGAGAATATGTCCCCTCCAAAACATTACACATAGACACTCATGTCTTGAGATGTGTGACTTTTGAATAAAGTGATGGGTAGAAACTATTAATTGTACAATGCAAACTTCATTGTAATTTATTTCAACCAGCATTGGTGAAATTTTTATTTGAATAAATGACAAGATTTCTTGATCTGTCCAAAAATGTTGGGCAAGACAGAGCAGTCATTTGGAAAAACAAATTGATTTGATGCAAAATTTTAGGATTTGGAAACTATTGTTTTTCAAGTTCTGAGAATTTTTTATTTAAACTTCTGTTTTTACTCTGAGAAAAAATTCAAATGGATAATGTTATAACTTAAGGAGGACTCATGAGTTAAACTTAAGATGTAAAGTAGATAAATTTTTATATAGCAAATGTTTGAAATTGTGAAAGCTAGAAAATACCAAATTACTTCAGAAAATGGAAATAAAAATAAGTCAAATAAATTTTACCCATCTCTGATGGCTTGTGTGTCATAACTAATATAGCAAATAATATATGAATAATATAAATATTGTAATGTGAGTAATATAACATGAATAATATAACAAATATTCTTTCTTAGTCTCGTGTAATTTCAAAGCTTTCTCTCAAAATTATAGGTAATCTGGTTTCTGCTTAATTTATAAATTTAAGTGGAAGACTTTGCTGTGCTACAAATTCTAAGACACTGTAATTTTAATACCCGTTTTTATTATGAAAAACAGTTTTTTCACTAAAGCCGAGAAGTTTAAATGATAAATGGTTTAGTTAGTGATTAATTCTCATTTGATGTAATTTAGGAATAGTATACATGCCAAGCTTTTCTGCTCATTTCATTGTGATCTGTTTTTTTATTTATATATAGCATCAATGTGGATTTCCCTTTGAACAAGCTGATTGCAATTGTTGGTCAAGTTGGTGCTGGAAAGTCTTCTCTTGTTTCTGCCATCCTTGGTGAAATGGAAAAAATCAGAGGATCTGTAGATATTCAGGTAATCTTTTGCTTATATCTTTTTTGTAATTATTTTTTGTTTACAGAAGTGCGTGATATGCATATAAATATTCAAACAAAAAAATGGGCTTATTTTTATTTTTTTAAATCTGTAATCATGTTCAACTTGAAGACTGTTCAACGAAACCATCCTCAACTTTGAAGATTAACTTTTATGTTTAAGCAATTGTTACATCTGTATCACTCATGTTGTCTACTATCCCAATTCCACTATGGCAGCCTTAAATAATTCCTTAATATTGAGTCACTGGTTAGTTATTCTTTTGCCAGTGTAGCCTAAGGATATTCAAATAAACAGAACTAAGAGGCTTACATGTCAAAAGCAACAGGATCATGAAAGTTCTTGGCTAGCCACTCTTGGTTTATGTAGAAGGAAGTAGTGTCCTGTTAGAACACTTACAACCACACCCTCAGTCAAAGACTTGACCACCTCATCTAACACCTGCAGAAAGAAGTCTGATCCCTCATGGCTCAGGACATTATAGCAGATCTGAAAATGATGTGCATCTCTATGGAGTTAACACAGAACTACTTGTCATTCCTCCTGTTCACTCAACCACTTTCAAGAATCTGGCTATCATGAATTGCTGTGGTTAGCATTACAAGCTTAGAATGATTTTTCATTTCTTGTGGCACACTGGAAAGTGCCATATTAATGCTCTTGATGCCTGGAAGAGAAATGAGGATGTCAAAATGTGGGACATGTTGTATTACATTATGTGGTCTTTATGACCTACTAATATTTTCTCAAATACCTGCCACATCTGACATTGAAGTTGACAAACAACATAAAATATTTTTGAAAGACTTGCTTTTGATCTGATAACGCTCTCCAAAAGATAAAGAAAATGTATGAAAATAAACTGGGATGTTTTTTTTTGTTTTTTTTTAAAAGAAAACGCCAACTGTAGTTGGGTCTTTCTAAACTTCACAATCATTTTCTTAGCTGTATGGTATGTGCTTTACCTGGGTTACATATGGTTTTGAATTCAGTTGTCCTTTTCTTAGACTGGCTACCAACCAAGGCTAATGTCTCTTGTTTTTGAGAAAAAAAAAATTCCCTTGTACACTTTTTACCTTCCATTTCTATCATGTAAATATTTAAAAATGAACAATATTTTCCATTTATCAAGTAACCTCAGCCATCATATACATCAATTTCACATATGGAACTTAATTGTTGCTACTTTCAGGGTTCAGTTGCTTACGTTCCTCAAGAGGCATGGATTCAAAATAAAACTCTAAAAGACAACATTTTATTTGGAAAAGCCTATGATAAGCAGCGTTATGAAGAAGTACTTGAAGCTTGTGCTTTAAAAGCAGATTTAGAGATTTTACCAGGTGGAGATCAAACAGAAATTGGTGAAAAAGTAAGATAATGTTATTTTATATATTACCTAATCCCAATTTCTACAGTTAACATTGTTTGGCCTCTCTTACTGCATTTTATAACTCTTTAAATATTTTTCTGATTTAGCATATAAATATTGAATTTTTTTTTTTTTTTTTTTTTTTTAGGTACCATAAAGCTGTTTCAATGCTAAATTTTGCTTATATTTCAAATTTGTAAAACAGTTAAAAGATAAGCTAAATACTTAATCATTTTTACTGATTTTGTTTTTTCCTATTCATTTATCTCTTTAGGGTATCAACTTGAGTGGTGGGCAAAAGCAGAGAATTAGCCTTGCCCGAGCTGTCTATGCAAATAAAGAGGTTTATATATTTGATGATCCTCTCAGTGCTGTTGATGCCCATGTTGGTAAACACATATTTGATAAAGTGTTTGGAGAAATGGGAATGTTAAAAAACAAGGTATTCCATGTAGTTTTCTTCTGATAACATATACATATATATTAAGCACATTCTCTTTCTATCCTGCATGTTTGTGCTTACTTTATCACCTGAAATATTTGGAAATCCAATATTAATTGAATATATAAGTCAATGAAGCTGTTTCTCAATGTAATAATTTTTCACCATAAGTTTTTAACAGCTTTCACTGTTCCATGTGATTAAATGTAAAATATCTCTATAATGTCCATAATGTACCGAGCCTCTGAAGGAAAAAAAAAAAACTAATGAAATCTCTTTATGGTGTCTTTTTTTTTTTTTAATTTCTGATCATCATACTCTTTCACTTTCAGACTCGTATTTTAGTGACTCATGGAGTTCATTGGTTACCTAAAGTTGATAAAATTGTAGTTTTGCTAAATGGTATTGTGTCTGAAGTTGGCAGCTATGAAGAGCTAATCAGTCATGATGGTGCATTTGCACAGTTCCTTTTGACTTACCTTAATGAAGAAGATGAAGATGGTGATCCAGAAAGTAAGTTATTTGCATTTGTTGTATGTTTTTTTTTTTTTTTTTTTTTTTTTTGTCCATATTGCTATGTGATTTGTTTCTTGACTAATGTTCACCCTATACAAGGCCCAAGAGCCACTAAAAGTAGTTAATGAAAGCAGTTGTGTGAGCTGTAAGAGTATTGGGTGCAGTTTGAGGATGTGTGTGACAGATAGCCATAAAAGCAACAGTTCTTGGGAAGAAACTTTTCTTAGATTTTCGTAGAAATTATTATTTACTTATGAAATACAAATGGAATAAGTGTGGTTAAACTCAATGTATGTGATGTGGCAGCTCTTAGCTAAGAGGGTTACAGTTAGAGAAACTAAGGAATGTAGTTAGTCTGAACATTTTCCATGGAAATATCAATATTGGCAGCATTTCATCTGGGGAAAAGTGGTCTAAGGAGGAAAACGGTTCATCACCCACAAGGCTGCATAGATGTTTTTGGGCTCTATCAAGACTGGAAAATGAAGACTGGACAACTCCAGTTCAGATATAGTGGAAATACTTCATTTATAGCCAGATTTAGTTTTTGTACAGGTAGAACATAGCAGGAGGAGTTGGATACTTACTGGAGCGGTACTTAGAACTGATTTTTTTTTTTTTTTTTTTTTTTTTTTTTTTAGTATCTTTTCTGATGAATTGTATATACAAGTTTCACTTGAAGTCTGCGATGGGCTTATCCCAATAGGTGTTCAAGGCAAGGGACCTCTTCAAGAGAACACCTTTCATTACAATAAATGGAAATTCAGTCTGCTTGAGGATGAAATATTTGGTTTTCAAGGTATTGGACATGACCAGCCAGTTTTCCCTTATGGCATTGTTAAAGCTAGGTCAGAGAAGAGATCAGCTGTAAGGGTCTGATGATTAGATTTTGGTGGGTGCAGCTATATAACCCATCATCTTCATAGATATCCACAAGAGATCAGAGTATGCTCTTAGGTAGATTATTAATATAAGGCAGAAAAAGGTTGGACCAAGAAGCGAATTTTGGGAACACTTGCATTGATCTCACTGACATTGATGGATTGATCATTAGTAACTACCTTCATGGGCCTGTTAGAAAGAACTTGATAATTGTGAAAACTCTTCAAGCGATTCCATAGCTGGAGAGCTTTTCACAACCCCCAATGCCACACCTTGTCAAAGGCCCTCGATATATCTAGTGCAATTATCTTTGTGATATGTTTATTTCCTCACTGATTCTGTGAGTGATGACAGGATGTCAACAATGGAGTGAGCAGATCAAAATTTGTAATCCCTCAAGAGATTGTCCCTGTTGAGGTGCTTGACAATTTTCTTGCTTATTGTAGCCTCAAAATGTTTGCTGATGAAACTGGGGAGGTGATAGGCCAATATTGATACAAGGATGAGCTGTCCTGCATTCTTGAAAATTGAGCATACACTTGACACCTTCCATAGACTTGAAGAATTTTACCTTTAGGCAGCAACTGACCAATTTTGCTAAGATTGGAGGAAGCTCTGGGCTAATATTAAGGACAATCACTGATTTTTATCTGAACTGGTAGACAGGGTCAAAGTTTTTGATAAATCTTGAAACTTCCTGTACTGTGATAGAAATGTTAAGTTTGTGCCCATGAGAGGGGGAGGTCAGGAAGGAGATGGTACTTGTCCTCTATCCTCTTACTCATCTATGATAGTAGACAATGATATTTTGCCTATATTGAGAATTTGGTTAGAGATTTTCCAGAACTTGTAAGATACAATTTGTTTGCTTTCAATCTTGGCTTGATTTGCTTATTCATAGCTGCACTTCGTATTTTCAAGAACTCTTGCAATAATTGTGGACAGTTCTAAATTTAGCAGGGTCCTCCTACACTGTTCCCTTTGACAGATATAATAGGTTAAAATATATTTAAAAAAAATAAATTCTTCCAGTTGCTAAAATTTCAGTGTCAAACAGCTACTCAAACTTGAATTTTTAAACTCTTGTCTGAAATTATAAATATGAAACTTTAAGTGTTTTTTTTATTAATCTTGGGATCTAAGGCCTCATAAAAGAAATCATAAACCAATCAATATAGATATTAATCTGGAGTTGGTGTTTAATCCTTGAGATTTGGCTTGTTGGGAAAATATTTTGCATAGCTGGGTTAATAATTTTTAATTTCTTTTGCTTTTAAAGTGCAAATATTCATCCAGTATCATTTGATTAGATATAAAATAAGACTGATGTCCAAGCAACGGTTAAAAATTAATGACTGATCCAGGGCCAAAATAGTTCTCAGTAGAAAAATTTCTTTCAGTTGATAATTCATTTTTTACAGATTTCAAATGCAGTGGATATACTAATATTTACTCTTTAAATAGGCACCTCCACTGAATTTTCAATACCCAAGTTTTAAAATTAAATTTCAAAGATAAAAAAAAACATTCTTGAAGATTTCATTCTAGTTTTAATTGAAAGCTAAATGATTAAATTTATTATTTCAAGTAAGTAAAATATTCAGATAGAAATTATATAGATTGGAATGTCAAATAATTGCTGTTTTTTTTTCTTTTCTTTTTTTTTTTTTTTTTTTTTTTTTTTTTTAAATTTTCTCACAAGCGGCCATTTTCTTAAGAAATTTATAAACACATTCATCAGGTTATAAATTCTTTAAAAATTAAATTCTAGATTTGTGACCTGTTATTTGAGTAAAATTAGAAAATTTAAAGTTAAATTAATCTGATTTGAAATAAATATTATTTTATAGCATAAAAAAAAACAATATACAAGCATTTCTTAACGATGGGTTCCTCTTTCTTTGATCTTTATTGATTTATGGAGATGGACTTAAGGTGATGATTGCATTTCGTTTCTAGGTTCTTAAGTTTACTACCTTAAACAAAAAAATTAATTGACGTATGACCCAAACTAAAATAAATACATAAAATAAAAATATTTAGTGAAATAGCAATTTTTTTTTTTTTTTTTTTTTGAAGGGATTATTTGCAAAGATGTTAATGATGAAACAGGACTGAATTAAAAGTTAATTGCTGTGTGTCAGATGATACTTAAATCACATGACTTTTTTAAGGATTACATCATCTATAGATTCCCATAGATAGAAATTAGGAACATCTTTTTTCACTAAAATATTCAAACAAATATTATGAGCTTTTCAAATTTCACTTTGTAAATTTACTTTGCACTTAACGATATCACCAAACCACCATCTTGAAAGCAATAAAGAATTGTAAACGATTTTTGAACTATTATTATAATTAGAATTTTTAAAAAAATGAAAAAATTCTTTTAAAAATTCGTTATTCATTGAAAAAATTTTATTTTTTCAGACAATGTCCTTAATATAACTTATTTACAAAAGCAATTAAAAGCTTTCTTAATTAAATAATGTCATAGTTTTATTGCATTTTTTATTTTACAATTCAGAGCAGATTTTAGATGGAGTTAACTGTTTTACAAAAGAAAATTGATGATTTACTTTCTCCAAAGAGTCCTGTTTTTAACTAATAAAAAAAATCCCCCACTTAAAAATTTAATTTCTTGAAATTTCATAAAATTATGTAATTGGGTGGTAACATAATTTAAAAAATGTTTTTACCAAGATTTTCTAAAAAATAAGAATTTCAAAAATAATTTCATTTCTAAATATGTCCTGATAGTCTATATTTCTGAGATGAGGTATTATGTACATTATTTACATTATTCGGACTATTGTCCTCATCTTTGTTGCAGTTGTATGCTCCGGCCTTCTTCAGGTGGTTGGAATTTCAAACTGAACCCATTGTTTCGCTCACTGGGATAGACTGTTCTAGTTCCATATATGCTAGGCTACAGAAGTCTTCTGAGCCGACCAAGCATAGAAATAAATACAATATGGGAACCAGTAATAAGGAGTGCCAGAGAAAAGCAACGATAACAAAGTTGCAATATGAGCTCTGGTAAAAAAACATGCACTGATAACAGCAAAATTGCAATATGAGCACTGGTAAAAATGATTGCTGAGGACATCAGGTTTATAATACCCAGAAATTCATACCCAGAGGACACATGGCACAGTGGATAAAAACGTTGGTTAGATCCAGTGACAGGACCCAAAGAGTGTGAGTTCAATACCTGGTTAAGGCAGTGGAGAACTTTCAGAGGGAAATTAGCAGGGGATAACTGATAACTGACATCCATGATATGGCATGTGGAACTAGAACAGTCTACTCCAGTGAGCAAAATAAAGGGTTCAGTTCGAAATTCCAACCACCTGAAGAAGGCTGGAGCGTACAACGGCTGAAACGTTGTGATAAATATGGCGACAAAGATGAGGACAATAGTCCGAATAACGTAAATAATGTCCTGATAGTTTCATTAAAATCCAACAATTATTTGAATTTTTCAAGAATTTCCAAATCAATGTGCGTTTTCTTTTGAAAAAGTGCAAAATAAAACAAACCCTTTTTCTCTAGTTCACCACTATCGTTAAAAAAAAAAAAAAGATTTTTAATCGAAATTTTGAACGTGTTAGACAGGCGTAAAAAAATTTCAAAAAAATAATAAAAAAAAATATTTTGGTCTTTCCTTCTTAATAACATAAACATTTTGATGACAAAACTTTGTTTTTATTAAGTTTGGGGCCTTTTTTCATCATGCTATGCTGTTTTTATATGACCTAGTGGAGGTACCTATTTTTAAGTCTTACAGTCTTATAAATGCTAAATGCCATTAAATGAATCAAATTTTAAAATCTTGATATTGATTTGGTTTGCTTTTTTATTTTTTTTATTTTTTTATTTTTTTTTCCATTGTTAAAGTTTTTATTAATTCTTCACTTTCAGTTGAGGAAGTGAAAACTCGGATGCTGAAGCGTGCGGTTTCCTTAGTTTCAAGTGGATCTGAAGAAGATATAGAAGAAATAAGCTGCAGGCGGAGAAGCAGTAAGGCCACATCTTTGTGAGTCATTCTGTATGCTTTTAAATTACAAAATTATATAAATCAACATACATATAATAAGAATATGCAGTCTGCTTTATCCATATCTTTACAATAAAAACTAATATCTAAAGTTCAGTATCTTTCTGGTAGGAAGGATAGTTCATTAATTTTTAGCCTTAACTTTTAAAAAGTTGCAAGTCACATAAACTAATTCAGTTGTGATGTGATGAACAAGTTTTCACTTTTTCCTCTCTATATTTCACTTATCGCCTTTGTATTGAAATGCAGGGAAAATTAATTTATAATGAACAGATCAACATTTTCAGAATACCCTTGAGAATTAACAAAAATTATTTTACTGCTTTGGGTTGAATTCCATTTTACAATGAATTTATCATAAAACAAAATTTAATAACTTGAGATTTTTTTTAAGATTTTTTTTTTTTTTTTTTTATGTGAAAAATTGTTAAAAATCAGTCTTACTTGCATTATCTAGGTGGCCAATATTATATAACTGAAAATATTTACTTTAATAAGATGTATATTACAGAGGAAAAAAGGCAGAAATCCAAGTATATTGATTTACTTGGACAAAATTAAAATGAGGCCACAATTTGCAGTATATCTTTCAGCAACTGAGGTCATACATCAGTGTGTAAAAGGGGTATGTGAGATATGTCATTACATGTTTTATGAAAGGAATTTTGGAAGTAAAGGTTTTATATATAACTTAAACACAAAATGTTTTGCTTCAAATAATATGAAGTGCTCATGTGGTCCACTTAAACCAGACAATTTTGTTCAATTGAAAATTTGGCAGAAAGTTTGGTTAAATGAATATTTGATTCTTAAATAACAGCCAGTTTTTTTTTCTTTCTGCCATAATTTTTCTATACTAATTTTTTTATTTAATTTTTATTTTTTTTTTATTTTTTCCTTCAGGAAAAGCTCTAACAGTTTGGCCTCGAGAAAAACTCTTGATGGACAGGCCAAGTTCAAGCTAAGCAAATTGATTCAAGAAGAAAAGATGGAACAAGGAAAAGTAAATCCTTACTTTTTGCATTTTTGTGTCTCTTCGACTTGCTCAATCATCCAAATGTTCAGTGTCTTAACATTTAGCTTTCATTGTCTTTTTTGAAATGATACATAATTGTTACAAAAGGTAGTGGCAAAAGTTTGCATATGGTATTCAATTTCTTTAAACCTAAATAGTATCTCCATGCATTTCATTTGATCATTACAAATAATAATTTGTTTCTCTTCCAGGTAAAATTAGATATCTTCTTAGAATACATGAGATCCCTTGGCATAATCTGCTCCTGTATCATTATCATGTTAATGATGCTGAATCAAGGGTCTTCAATGTTTGCCAGCATCTGGCTCAGTGAATGGACTGATGACCCATTTCTAAAGAACCATAGTAATGTTCAGGATGCTGAATACACAAGAAAAAACTATCTGTACCTTGGTATATATGGTGTTATGGGTGTTGTTCAAGGTAGGCAACTTCCTGTTCTGTTTCACATGTATACATTTGTATTATAATAGGTAATCACTTATCAAAATTTTAATCAGGTAGATAACTAATTTTAACATGTCTGTAATATGTTAACATAAATCACTTCTACTTTCACAGAATAACAAGTAGATGTTTGAAAGATGGATAAAATTATCCACAGTGCTCTCTATGCTTTTTGTGCCTATTTTCCATTTAGAATTGACATATTTTTACTTGATATTAAATGATTCTGATAGTGGTAGGGTAATAAATGTAGCCATGTCCTCAGTTTTGTAGTTTTGATAACTATATCATCTAGAGCAGTGCTTCTTAAACTATGGGTCACAACCCCATTTGGGGTTTGCGAAGCAACATGCTGGGGCCATGAAAATTAAATTCAAGCACTTGAATATCAGTTTGTTATTTCGCAAATACAATATTTAACATGCTGGGGCCATGAAAATTAAATTCAAGCACTTGAATATCAGTTTGTTATTTCGCAAATACAATATTTAACATGCTGGGGCCATGAAAATTAAATTCAAGCACTTGAATATCAGTTTGTTATTTCGCAAATACAATATTTAACGTGATGCACCATGCAAGCACTGTGGTGATAAAACACATGTGTGATGACATTGCAACTTGTACAGTGACAACATATGTATTTTTAGTGTAGTTAGCTAATACCTGGGGTTGCGAAAAATCTTGTGTGAATGAAAAAGTTTCACTTCTTCCTAAGATGTGTATGTGGCATCCAGTAATTATATTAGACTGGGAATTTCTTTTTACTATAATCGTACTCTACATTTCATAATTTATTACTATTAAATCTAATTTTTTTTTTTTTTTTTTTTTTTTTTTTTTAAGGTGATGAGTGAGTAAAATAAACTCCTCTTCTCTCTTGTAAAATGTGTATTAAAAAAAAAAAAAAATTCCCTTTTTATTGACAAATGGAAATTAGTTTTTTGTAAACAAGACATACCAATATTATCCTACTTAAGTGTATATATATATATATATATATATATATATATATATATAATTTTTTTTTTTTTTTTTTTTTTTTCCGAAAGTTTAAAATTTGTGAAAATTAACATCAAATGATTGTAAAGTGAATAGAACATTTGTCAGAAAAAAAAAAATGTTCATTTTCATGGGAGATAACTTTGTATAATTTCATTAATGATTTAGTTTATGACACTTAGAGCAATCGAAGCGTAATGTGTAGTTAAACTTTATTTGGAAACAAATGTTTACAAAAGTGCTACGCTTAATTATAATGCACTAGGGTATCTCTATCTATACAGGGTGCGATGGATAAATTGTCATCTAAATTACACAAAATGAAATTAACACTGACATTTTAACAGATATATTTACCAAAATTACTCAATAATATCTTCAAATACTAAAGAGTAAATTTCTTCAATAAAATCGCCATTGGATTCAACCATGGCTTCTAGACGACTTCAGAATTTCCTGCAACTCTCTTGGACAGTCTCCTTGTTTAAGTTGGTGAATGCTGCTATAATCCTTGCCTTCAGTTCATATTTGGTGTTACAAGGAGTTTTGCTCAGCTGTGCCCCACACATAAAAATCAAATGGGGTTGCAGTCTGGGGAGTTAGGTGGCCAGATGTAAGGAGTGATATGGTCACAGAAATTGTCTGACTGGGTTCTCCTGCTTGTGTGGTGCAGTCCTGCTGTCAGACATAGGATCTTTCCAACAGCCACCCTCTTAGCCCAGGGCAGCACTATCTTCTCAAGGCACTTGATGTGGGCCTCTGTATTGAACCTGAGGCCCTCACCAACAAATTCAGGAATTCTTATCAGAACAATCAGTTTTCTGAACAGCCATGCCTTTGTAATCACCATTTAGACTCTTCTAACTCCTTCTGAATCCTCTACATTGCCCTCAGATTGGCACCCAAATACTGTGAAATGTTCATATTGGAGCTTCCAATGCGAATACTGAATAGTACAGCATGCCATTTCCAAATCTCTGGCAGTGACTTGCATCATGGTGTTCGTTTCCTCACAGAGGGTGCCCAACTATATTGTGCAGTTGACAAAATTGAAAACATGCACGCACGCACGCACGCACACACATATATATATATATATATATATATATATATATATATATAAAGTATTTTTATTTTCCTAGAAGAATCCTTTTTTGGCCAACACCTTTTCCAAAGGTAACTGTTTGTACAAATCTGACAAAACAAAGGATAATACTAAAAAAAAAAAATGAGGGGAACTTTGAAACACAATTAAAAACAATTTAATAGTAAATAATTCATAATTAAAATAAGTGATAAACAGTTCCACCTGAGTGTAAAAGGGAAAAACTCGCATTCATGACCCTCCAAACAAACGGAGTGAATGAAGTGTTCTTTCTGCTTGCATGGATCTGGTTGATGTAACTTAATGTGTATTGCTTCAAGAACATGCAAGTGGTGAGCAGACCAAGCTCTGTGCAAAACAGTGGAAAAAAAAAAAAAAAAAAAAAAAAATCTACATATGTGGTGGCACAGTTGGAATTATCAAGTAGATGTTTGCCTATTTCCGAATCATGTGCAGACTGAGTCACCTTAGAAGAAAGACTCAGATTACCTGATTTTATATTGGCCGGAACATGTTGACACATAGGGGTCTCTAACCTCAGACTAGTCCTACATATTCAGCATTACACTGACATTACATACGACAACTACTTTGAAAGTAGAGCAAATGTTCTTTAGCAAGATATAAATACTGATATTTGGTCTTAAAAACAACCTGTAAGTTTACAGTATACTCACTTAGCATCTTAGAATTATCAGCATAGAAATTCAATTCTTGTTTATACTCTTAAGTTGCATAAATATTTATTTCCTCTCTAAATCTATCCTTTCTTCTATTTTGCAGCTATTTTAGTATTGTCTTATAGTGTTATGTATGCATATAGCACAATAAGAGCAGCAAGGAGTCTCCACAAACAAATCCTGGAAACAATAATTCGTTGTCCAATGTCCTTCTTTGACATAACACCAATTGGACGAATACTAAATCGTTTTTCAAGAGACATTGATGTTGTGGATAACACTCTGGGTTTTGTGACTAGGCGAGTGTTGCAGATTGCCTTCCAGACCATTGGCACAATAATCATTGTTGGTTACAGTACACCTGACTTTCTCATTGTTGTCATACCCGTTTTAATTGTCTATTATTTCATTCAGGTAAACTCTTACATGCCATCTCTCGTATTATCTAAAGAATGAGCATTCATTTTTATTTTTTGTCTACATGTGCCACTAAAACTAAATTGTAAGTTTATTTGTCACGATGCAAAGAAAAAGTGAACTAATTTTTGTAAGTTTTGGTAATGTTTAATCTTCATGCCACCAAAAAAACTGGATCTCAAAAGCATGGTTAATCCTTTACAACCATTCTTACTGTATACACTTTTGATTCTCTCAGCAATGTTTTACAAAATTATAAAAATTTTTGCACTAAATACAATGCAATATCTTTATCTTTTTATAAAGAAAGAAATTTAAAATCTTTTTATTTAAAACTTTATAAAATACTTCAGTTATTGAAATGCGTAAATGTTTTACCATTTTTATAAAAAAAAAATAAATTTTTTTTCATAATTTTATAAAAATATCAATTAAGTATAAAACAAAATTTGAATAAATATCTATTTCACTTCAAAAAAAAAAAAAAACCTTGCTGAGGGAGTCAAAAGTGTATACAGTTATAGAGGTCTCGAGGGGAATAACTGTCTTTTTTTTATTTTTACATTTGCGGGCACAAAAGTTGAACATTGCCAAAAATTTTTTTTTATCTTTATTTTTAACATATCATTGATAGTATTTTATTGACTTGACAATTTTAAATGAAAAGGGTTAGCATTTCTTCTAGCATTTCTTCTAGCATACCAAAAGGCTTTAACACTAAACTGCTTGTAATTGGTTAAAATCTTCATTACATGTCTCCATGTTTGAATATATGAAGAGATTGTTTGCTTTTAATATTTTCAAATGTCAATGTTTGTTTCAGAGGTTTTATATTCCCACTTCCCGCCAATTGAAAAGACTGGAATCTACAACAAGATCGCCAATCTATACTCACTTCAGTGAAACTGTTTCTGGTTGTTCTGTCATACGTGCTTATAAAGAATGTCCAGAATTCATTTACATTTCAAGAGCATTGGTTGAACGTAATCAAATATTCTATTTTGCAAACAATACTTCAAATAGGTGAGACTTTTTTATTTTATTAAAAATTATTCACTTCTTTGAAATAAAATGAAGATATATGTAAATAATTTTATCTACTCAAGACTAGATTGTAGTGTATAAATTGTTTATTTTTTACAATTTCTATTTAATATAAGAAATTCATCCAGTAGACTGTGATTTTGTTACTGCTGCAAAAAGACCCATGTCAAGGACAATGGGCCACAACACCTTTCTCATTACTGTTTCTTTAAATTTTTTTTCTCTTTGAATTTCTGTAAGAGTTATCATTATTTACATGCAGATTATTGTCCTCATCCAGTGCAACAAAAGCTTAGTGGATTAAAGCATTCATTTATAAATTTGGTGACATAGTAATTGTGAGTTTAATCCCTGGAGTGTCCAGTATTTACTTGGACTTGGTGGAAACAGGACAAGCAATAACTGAGCAGTACTAGAGGAGATATCCCTAGACATGGGCAGTAGAACAAGTCTGTAGGTTAAATAAGAGACTCTGTTTGGAATTCTCTGTTGGTTAATGTCTCAACATACACCTGATGAAAGCCAGAGGGCACAAATGCTGAAAGGTTTGGATAACAACAAAGATGATGTCAATTGTCCACATATAATAAATAGTGTATATGACTTCTCTTTTTTTTTTTTTTTTTTTTTTTTTTTTTTTTCCCCGCTTGTGATTATACAAATCCCTTATTTTTAATTCATTTATAGGTGGCTTGGATTCCGTCTTGAACTGTTAGGAAACTTCATTGTTGTCGCTGCTGCTTTATTTGCTGTGTTGAAAATTCAAACAATAACTGGTGGCCTTGTTGGCTTATCAGTCTCCTATGCACTCCAAGTAAGTTTATAGATTTAGGTTAAATCACACCGACATTACTGATTAAGGTAGTCCACACACAGACACACACACACACACACACACACACACACACACACACACACACACACAGAAAGTGGTCTCTGCATGTGCAGGTGGTGTAATGATTAGATTCAGAACAGAAATCGGTGAGCCAAGTTCAATGGTTAAGATCATTATATTCGCTTTTGCACAAATAACCTTGGAAAAGGGATGAATTAACTTATTTTTCCCTCAGCTAGGCGTTAAATACTAGGGCACACTGGACTCTTGAGCCATAGTTGCCAACCATTATAGGAGAAGGGCAACTCTGAATTCAAAATTACGTGTCCCTAGTGAGATATCCGTCAATAATGTCATATGTTGGCTGTGGGTGGCAACTCATGATGCCTGAGATTGGGATCCTGGTGATTGAGGTTTTCAGGAGCAGGGTTTTTATCTCCAGCATCCTAAAACATTACTTTGGCCCTTGCCCAGGCTAAATGGGTGGTTGGAGAAGCCCAATCTGATCAATCATCTGGTCATGACAAGCCCTGGTTCAGATTCCTGCAAACTCAGGAAAAAGCTGAATCAGAAGGCAGTGACTGTAGGGTCAATTATGCTAGAAGGGACTATTGTTTCAAACTGTTCCTGAACAAGAAGTTAACTTCAGAACTGATTTAGGAAGTTGGGCAATTATTGCTTGTCATAATGAGTATATTGACTGTAGCCCTGATCTGCCAAGGTGAATGGGCTTCCCTCTTGACATTTTCCTTTGTAGGTCTCCACTGTGGCTGGAGAGCACATTCAGTGAAGCATAATTTCATTATATGGATACAGAAAGAAAACCCCCAAGCAAAAAGACCCCATTCTGATCAAGAGCAGTGTGAGGTACCCTTTCCTAGATTCACATTAGAATCTAGAGAGGAGGTTCTACTAAATTATCACCATTCCTGGTACAGAGGGTTATATCTTCAATGGTAAATCCTAAGTTAATAATAGAACCATTCTGGTGGAAATACTAAATAAAAAAACATGCAAGTATACTACTAAAGATTAAAAAATTCCATGACATTAGTGTAAAAGCATGCCCGCATGAAAGATTAAACACCTTGTAGTGTTGTAGTTTGTCATAGAGATCTCTCTTTGTACCATGGAAAAGATAAAATCTGAATTACAAAAAAAAAAAAAAAAAACAGTGTGATTGACATTAAAAGAATAATAATTAAAAAAGCAAGTCCAGATAATAAATACAAACACAGTATATACTGTTACAAATTTGCAACATACAGAGATATGAACCCCAGTTTCAAAAAAGAAAAGATGGGTTTGCTCAGCTAGGAATGCACAACCAGGTGTCAATGAATAACAAACACATGAATGTTTGTAAATAACTTTATGTAACAAAAACAACAGAATATGGAAAGAGTATGTTTATAACAGATATTAAATCGATAAAAGACACTTATCTGATAGTGGGTGTTAGTTCAAACAGGTTTCATGAATTTGTAAGTTCAAGTGTTCATACTGGCAAATAGACTGAGGTTTTTTTTTTTTTTTTTTTTTGTTTTTAAATATCCAAATAAGTTTTTTTTTTTTTTTGAATGGTACAATTGCTTAATTTCCCCTCCAGTAATTGAATTACATCCAATGATTTCTCTGGGTATAATATTCTTTTATTCTTAACACATCAAGTAGTCAAATAAATCCAGTCTTTGGGAGTAAATTTTTTTTTTTTTTACTCACTACACATCAAGTAGTTGAATAAATACAGGATCTTCTAGGAGGATACTCCTTATTCCTTACACAACAAGTAATAGTAATAAGTTCATAGGTGCATCTCTCATGACTGCCTGATGAGTTGATTTTCTCATGACCTGTCGCAGAGATTATCGGGGAAACTGAAATTACAATAGAAAAATCCCATGTGGTGGTGTATGTCACATGGGCTTGAGTGACTGACTTTAACTTACTCTCTTAGGTCAATTGTGTCTAGTTTTCAAGTGACACAGATTCCTTCCCGCCATTTTTCAATCAAGACAAGACTGTCTATACTGAAAGAAAAGAAATAAGAGAAGAGGAAACACAAAGCATGTCTCTCAATAAATTTATCATGTGTTTGATTTTAAATTCAACATTGAAGGCCATGTCACAATACTAATTTTCAATGCATCCACTCCAACTAAATTTAAAATTGGTTATTTAATAGCCAAAATAGCTTCACTCCACCAAACAGTAACCCTTTGTTCAATCCGTGATGACCTTACTCAAGGTTACCATGTGGTGATGATCATTTTTGATCTTTAAAAAGCCTATTAGTATTTTCAAGCCAGCCATAATGATGTCCAAAAACTTAACTACATTAACAGGAATTCCAGTTGTTTCCTTAACATTAACATTTGCAGCAAGATTTTAAAAAAAAATTAATGTAATTGCTGCTTTGCTTGATTCCTATTCAGTTAAACTTTTCTCTGTAATTTTCTTGTTTTTAAGGTTACGAGTTCCCTTAATATGCTTGTTCGGATGACAAGTGACTTTGAAACAAATGTGGTATCTGTGGAGCGGTTGAAAGAATACACAGAAATAACAAGAGAGGTAACAAGTGAAAACTTTTTTCTATACAGTATTTCAACTTGTAATTTTATTTTTATTTTCTGAGTAGCATCCAGTTGATAAATTTCATAAATTTAAACATTTTTCATGATTGCCTTCTAGATGTAATTTTAAAACTGATATTAATCTTTTAAGACAAATAGACCAAAAATATGTGAAACTTTACTCTTTCAGCATTCTCAGGTTTTTACACCTCTTCTTTCAGGCTCCGTGGCACATTCCTGACAAAAAACTGCCTCAGAGTTGGCCAAGTGAAGGAAAAATTGATTTTATCAATTACAAAACCAGATATAGAAATGGTCTGGATTTAGTCCTAAAGGGTATAACTTGTTATATTAAAGCATGTGAAAAGGTTTGTCAATTTTAAATTAGTTATAGATTTGAGGAATGTGACTAATTTAAAAATTTAGTGCTGAAGAATTTTTAATATCAATTTTAAAACTATTCACTTGAATATTTCATTGTCTAAATATTTAACCTTTTCACTGCCACAAACAAGCTAACTTACAAGAGTTTTTTTTTATTTTCTCTTTTTATTTTGTATATTTCTGTTAACCATGTTTTCAATGTTTACTGGATTCAAATGTCATTTACAGTTTAGATTCATTAACTATTTCAGTCTGCCAAAGTGGCGACAATATTGGTACCATGAACTTAATGTCTAAATAAATTTTAGTTAATAATTAAAGAACATGTTAAGCACATGGGAGTTTGAATTAAGCAGATAAAACTTGCTTAAACCTGTACAATATTAAAAAGAAAAGTTCTAATTTCACTAACAGGTTGTATTTAACCCAGTATTTTCTCATTGAAAATAATTTCAAATGAGATACATATAGTTTGTTCAGGCCACTATACTATAAGCTCTTCATTGGGTTTTTCTTGCATTAATATCATACACAGTTTCTTTATAGGTGGTGTGAAGAAAATTGTTTTCTCTTGTACTCAAACAGCCATGTTGAATTCACTACCTTCTAGAGAACCAAATTTATCTGGGATAGGAACTCTGTCACATATCAAATTCAAGCAAATTTAAGGTTCACATTCAAAATATAACACATTGAGGAAGGTAATAAGAAACACTATAAGTGAGAAAATTAGTCCAAATGTATTAATATATAAATGTGTGTGTGTGTGTGTGTGTTATAGCTTGATTTTGAAACTAGCTTGACTGTTGGTGGAATCAGTTGATACACAACCACAATAACTGTTTTTAAGTTTACTCAATACATTGAGAGTGTAAAATGATATTATTTTTATACATTCATTCCTCACTATTGGTTATCATTTGTGGTTTGATTGATTTATTTTCATTTATTTGTGCAGATTTGTAGGCATCAAAACAGCTGAAAAAAAAAAAAAGAAACAAGTCTGTGGGTGGGTTGGGAAGTTATGGCTGAACTTCATTCTAATTATTTTCCTTTTTAATAGTAAATAATCTGATACCTAATGAGAAGTTTTTTTTTTTTTTTTTCTTCTTTGGTAGATTGGAATTGTAGGTCGTACAGGAGCAGGGAAATCTTCACTGACTCTATCGCTTTTCCGTATTATTGAAGCTGCTGATGGTTTCATACTTATTGATGGTTATAACATAGCTGACATGGGACTCCATGATGTTCGAGGCAGTCTCACTATTCTCCCACAGGTAAGTTACAAGTAGTAAAATTGATGATTTGATTACTTTTTAGGTTTAAATGAATATTGTTATATTTTGAATTAGTATCAAAATGCAGGCATAAAAAAATAATACTTCCAACTTTTTAATGCTTTTGTTTTAAGCAATGGTATGAGAACAGGCATGTCTGGAAAAATATTTTTGTAAATTTTTTTTTTTTTTTTTTTTATCATCCATTTTTCTCTATAATGAATGACTGGATTAATTTTTGAAGCATTGAATTTTCTATTTCAGATCAGAAAATGAAGATTTGAAATCTCTCCTGAAGGATACTCACTAAACATCAGTAATAGACTTCTATTTAATACTGTCTGTGTTGTATGCTTTTCAAGATGAAGAATTCAAAACAGTCTTATTGAAGGCATGGACTTCTTAAGCTATTTACTGAATATCTAGAAATTGAGTGGCTTAATTAAATTTTGTTGCATTATGTAGACAATTTGCATTTAATCAGAAATGTCTTCTGCTATTGACAAAAATGCAGCAAGTCTTGCATAAGAATGTGTACAAGGATGAATGAATGTCTAGCCTGAGAAGGATTAATAACAGCTGAAATGTTGCTATAACAAATATGAAGACATTAGTCTGACTGTAAATTATGTAAATTTCTCATCCCAAAAATTCAGATAGTAATGCCAAATTAAGTGTATTAACTTGGAATACATTATTGCTGTAGTGGTGGATAGTTGATTGAGGTTGCTTTAAGTTCCTGTAATATTTTTCAACCAGTTCTTGTGTTAAAGATACTATATTTATTTTATTTTATTATATTTTTTTTCTTAAGAGAAAAAATGGAAATGCATACAGAAATGTAATTTTGAAACAGAATTGGAAGGGGAAAATCCTTAAATGAATAATAAAAATATATACGCAATTGAACAGAAATAGAGGTTTATCCCTTGATTTCAGTCCCTTCTAAAGTCTTCTCATTCTCTTTCACAGCCAGTAACCCCTTGCAACTTAGTGGCATTATCACCGTGCTTGGGGTGAAATAATTTTTTAAAAATATTGTTAGGCAACCAAACAAAAATGCAAATAAACTTGCTTCTCAACTCCTCACCCATACATTTAAACCTGGGTATTTTTTCTTCACAAGCTTTGTGCATTAGATTTGTACAGGCAATAATGTAGTATTATGAGAAAATAAAAATATTTTTATTTCTACTTTATTTTGGCTTTCATTTTATTTATATTATGATTTTGCTTGCAAGTGCTTGTTGCTGAAAATTTGGTTCAAACTGTTTATTTTGCTTTCAGAGATGCAAAAAATGAATCTGTTAAATTTAAATTTCTTTACTGCTTTTTTGCTTTCAGCTCAAGAGCAACTCTTTTTATAATTCACTCCTTTGAGCTTTAATTAAAAGATGATATTCTGTTATCATTTTATTGATATTCTTATAGGAACCATTGATTTTCTCTGGAACACTTCGTCTCAACCTGGATCCTTTTGATAAACACACAGATGAAGAAATTTGGAAAGCTCTTGAATTGGCTCATTTGAGATTATTCATTTCTAATCTCCCAAATAGACTTGACTTTGAATGTGGTGAAGGAGGGCTGAATTTCAGGTAATGCAGTGTTTTTATCATATATATATATATACACACACACACATATATATATATATATATATATATATATATATATATATATATATATATATATATATATATATATATATATATATATATATATATATTTTATTAATACTGATTTCTTAGAAATTTCATCATCAAATAGCATTCACTGATAAAAATGAGCAATAGAATTAGAAGTTCTGCTTTTCTTTGGTGTTAATGCCTTGTATAAAGTTATTTGGATATTTCTGTCTTGATTTGTCCCAAACAGTTGGTTTAACAGTAACTCTTACTTCACTTTGTCACATACGCAATGATATAACCTTGTTTTTAATTTGTTTTTAGATTTGCATAAACAAATTTATTACTTATAAATAAGTTATGAAAAACAAACTGCAGGTGTCTATTAACATTGAAGAAAATGGATTTAGTAAAGTGTTCACTGTAGCAGTAAAGTATTCACGCTGCACTTATACCCTTGGGAAAGATATTAATTCAGCTTTTCTCCTGCTCCCCAGCTCCAGTTATGGGCAAATAGGGCAGACAAAGCTTTTTAGCATTGGTTTGCATCTGGTTTTGGACATGGTTAACTAATTCCAAACCAGAAAACCTTTGCCAGCATGCCATAAGATAGGGAAGTATGGGCTATCTTGGGAAGTCTAATGGCAGATTTTAAAGACTGATCTTAAGTTGTGAAAGACTTTCCGCAAAGTCAATACGCATGCTTTAAGATTCAAACCTTTTCTTTCTTCTTCCCTCTTTCTTTTTCCATATATATGTTACATCTTTGTCAAATATTGTATGAAAATAGTAAATTGTCTAAAAGTTTTGTTTTACTGAACTTTGATGTAAATATTGTTTGCTATTATCATTGCTTCTGTATATATTTCTAAAATAAAATATTGTAACTATTTACATTGACTGAATTTTATTACAATATTCACATTTCTAACCCTATGGGCTAAAAGGGCTTGGTTCAAAATTCCAACCAGTATCGCTTAAAGAAAACTGGAGCATACCATGGCCTAAACATTGTCCAGACTGTTGCCCTATTCACAATATAAATAGTGTAAATTATCATTGTTGGGTTGCACTGGGGGTACATTAGGTGGTAATTGTGTTTTGTTAGAAACATTCTTTATGCTGACTTTATGTAGAGTGCAACCCTTGAATTTTTAATGCATGAATTTTAACCTCTCCAGAAAAATTTACTTGTGTAGAGTGCAACCAGTCACTGAGAATGCACGATTATTTTATTTATATATCTTTTTTTAACTCTTCAAATTAAATTGCCTGTCTACAGTGCAATCCCCTATGTTTCATAAAAAGGAAAACCAAAAAAGTCTGATTATAAAAACTCTCACTATATTCTAGTATACCAGAGCAATGGTATCTTTTACATCAAAAGTAAAATTGTAAGTTTCTCATTACAAATGAGTGAATGTAGCCTTTTTAAAATTAATATTTTCAATATTGAAATAATATTGATTGTTTTTAAATATTCTGTTGATTTCTTAATCCTTATATATATATATATATATATATATATATATATATATATTATTATTATTATTATTATTATTTTTTTTTTTTTTTTTTTTTTTATTCAGTGCTGGTCAAAGGCAGCTTATATGTCTTGCTCGATCACTGCTTAGAAAAGCAAAGTGTTGGTATTAGATGAAGCAACTGCTGCTGTGGATATGGAAACTGATGAGCTTATACAGAAGACAATCAGAGAGGAATTTACTGACTGTACCATTTTAACCATTGCTCACCGACTCAACACTGTGATAGATTATGACAGGTGAGATCTATTTCACCCCCCCTTTTCCCTGGCAACCATTTTGGGGTTGATTCTCTGCAAAAATTAAGGCCTGAGGAAACTTTAATTTTTTTATATGCTAGATTAAATACCCAAACAATAAAAATCTTTCCTCACAATTTTTTTTAACACTATAAGCTTATATATGCACTGAATATATAAAGATGTTCTATTTAAGATTTTTTTTGTGTAACATTTTTCATGTGAGAGTGAGCCATCTTGTAATTAATGTTATGATTAGTAGTCTTTGTTTGACTTTTGTTACAATTTCAGTCATTAATGAATAGTGTTTATAATTCAAATAGCTTTAGACTAATTAGGATTGATGATTGACTACTCTTGTTTAAGAAAAAAGAAGTCTGCATTCATTCAGATTTTAGTAGCTACTATGTAAAAGAATGTAAACTTTATTTAAGATCAGTGATGTTATTGTTTTCCCCACCACATGTGTCCTAACCTCTTTCTCCCTCACCCTTGTTGCATACTTGCTGGACCCTTCATTTTGTATTACAGGATAATGAGCAGTACTTCTTTTTCTTTCTTCTAGCCACAAATATAACTTTTCAATAGGGTAATTGTTGATTTTGGGATTGGGTTCCTATGTAGAAATAGTACAGAGAAGTATTAGTATGCTGACTGTCTCATGTACTATGTGTAGAGGAGTTAGTTTTTCCCATATATACAGTATGGATATGAGATAGATATATTTGTGTATGTAGGCAGCAAATTCTCTTTTAGACATGTCTGATTGAATAAATTACAAACATTATGTCTGCTTATTTTTATCATAATCTTTTCATATTCACAATTGTTTTTCTGTATATTACAATTAAATAAAGCAAAAAATGCACTGTAACATTGAGAATCACTTTTATATCCTAATGACTTTCCATGTCTTTCTGAGATCATCAGGAGTGCAACTGGTAAGCTATCCATTAACAGTTTTTTGCCTCTCAGAAAGATGGAAAGTACTTGAGAATAAGTGATTCTCATTGTTACAGTGCATTTCTTGCCTCATTTAATTGTAATATATGGAAAATTATTTGCAGACATAATGTTTGTAATTTAGTCAATCAGATATGCCTTGTGCGTATATATATATATATATATATGTGTGAGTGTGTGTTTACATTTCTCTATTGTTCAGAAAAGCATGGGATAATATATACAAAGGGATACATTGGAAAAAAGGTTAATATGCAATGAATTAAAAACAACTTATTTACTCTAAAGTGTATTGCCTCTCACAATACATCTGCCTTCTGTGTGTGCATACCTCACAGCCAGATAAATGCCTTATAACATCAAAAACTCTGAAGTCAGTCTAGAAAAAGAAATAAACACGAACTGACTAAACTAGTTGAGACTAGTTTAGTCAGAATAACAAAATAGAGATACAAAGGGAAAGAATAAATGATAGCCACTGAAGTCTGTAAATGGGTAGTAAGTAGTTGATAGGCATATTATAAAGTTTACAGAAAGGAAGAAAGTTACATGAAGTTACTATGACACAATGTAAGAACATTCAACACATATTGAAAGTGGTTCTATATGAGGAAGTGCAGCTGCAAAAATAAATATATACAAAGTGGCTACCACCTTAAACAAATTTTTAAATATTAAAGGAGACCAATGCTTAGAGAAAGATTAAGTTTCATATTGGCAATGCTATCATATTTGGGAGTAGAATTAAGGGAATATGTAAGAACTACGTATCTTGATGCTGTGGTTCATGCCAGTCCTAGTAATTACTAAGGGCTAAACAAAAAGATGATTAATCTAGAATGTACCTAAATTAAAAAGGGAGGATAAGGGAAAGTAAATTGATGGAGGTGCTGTATTGTGATAACAGAAAGAAGTTCAAAGTACATGGAAAAGATGCTGAAGAAAAATTTACCAAATGGGATGTTTAGATGTTGGGTTGCAACATGTAACTTTGATTTTTTAATTGAAAACGATAATATACAATGTATCAAGAGGGGGTGGAACAATTCAGTGTAAAGGGTTTTTTTTGTTTTTTTTTTTGTTTTTTTTTTCCTCCAATCAGAGGTCATGATATACATGTCATTCAGTCTGTTTACTTGATCCTAGGACTCACTTGAAAAACTCAATCTGGACAGAAAATGTTAATAAAATCAGATTAAATATCAAGATTGTCCTGAATGCAAAATTTGAACATAGAAAGGATACAAAGATAGCCTTGCTCTCATGGCATTAGGTTAAATTCCTTTTAATCTCTTCTTGGAAGGATTTTTTTATAAAATGGGCACCAAAAACAAAAAAAAAAAAAAAGGCACAAATTTGATTCTTTCTGCTTTTGTGTATTATGCATAGATATAGTGCCAAGAACAATTTGAAAATTTTATCAGTGGCAGTAAAATTTGTAACTGCAATTTAGTCTGTTAGCAGGTTACACAGCTTAAATCTCTCCTACCTTTTTGAGGATGTGAAAGAAGTGTAATTGACCTTAGTTTATATTCAGTCTCTTGTGTTTACTTTAGCCCAAATGCTCTTGGGAAAGGTATGAATCCATCTCTTCTCCCTCACTCCACAGGTTAAATAGCAGGATAGACTGAGATTTCCAACCTTAGAAGTCTGAGAAGTAAAACTCTAAATTCCAAACCATAGGGAAGGGAAGAATTGGGGAAAATGACTCTATCTTTTCCAAAACTACATTACAATTCTCAGAGAAGAGAAAGGAATTGTGGAACCATGCTTACCACTGTTGTGAAGGGATAGTGCATTTAAGAAAAGAGAAAGCCTTTTGATTTGATTTTCCTAATGGAAGTTTTTTACAATACTGTAATAATAATGCCTGGATTGAAAAAGTAGAAAAAAAAAACAAACTTCTACCCACTAAACTATTATAATGGGCCTGAACATAAGAAGCATACAGTGGTATGGTGTATAATCCACTCCATTCTTTGAAAATGTTGACCATAATGTCTGTGGTAATTACAAGTTAATTTTCCTCTGTAGACAGTAATCTGTTTTGAAGGGGTGAAATTGTCTTTTCATTTTTTGCTTGAGGTGAGAAAATGTGATGCTAAATAATGGAACTATTAATGGTGGTGTGTATGTACTAAGGTAATCAAACTTATCAATCCATATAATTGGAGACAACTTCAGTTACAAATTGGACAATTTTGGGGGATATGGTTAAAATAATGCTAAGCTTTGCTGGTTAGAGGTATAACAGGAAATAGTTGACTACACCAAGAATTTTGATGAGCATCTGTGCACGAAACAGCAAATCTGATTTGTAGTATTTCATGTCTTTAAAATGTTGAATTACAACCCATGCCTCTCAATACATCTAGCTTTTACTTTCCTCTGGCAAAGACAAGACATCAGGTTGACATATGGGCTCTTTCTAGTCATTAATTTTTTTTATCTAGTTTTAAAATTTTTTTTTCTACTGGGTTAGAGGCTGGTATGAGGAAATTTTCTTGTTGCTTTTTCTAGGTAAACATCATTTTCCCAAATCTTACTTAAATATATTCATTGGCTGTACACTCGGGGTGCTCTGAAAATTTCCTATTTGAAGAAATTACATGAATTCTGAATTAAGCCATATCTAACTTTCTATAATTTTATAGAAAAACATTTTAATCAATATCTGCATTGTGTTGGGAATGTTTATCACACGTGTCAGAATTCCTGGGAGAGAGTTCTTCAGTCTGTAATATTGAATTGTGTGTGTGTGTTGCTTTGTGCGTTTTGCTGTGTGTGTGCGCGCGCATTTTGCTTTTTGTTTTCCTCACATTTTCACTCAATACAAGGCAAAAAAAACTCACAGTAATTACCAAATGAGACTGTTGTAAGTGTATACAGGGAGAGAGCAAAAGGTGAATATTATGAGGATATGTGAGATAGATAATGTTTCACCCTTTACTTGAAGTGGTTAGGATTGTAGTGATCAGGGATGCATCCTCTCAGTCCATTCCATAATGCAACAGTTCTGGGGAAGAAACTGTCTGAGTGGAACTTCCTCATTAATGGAAGAAGTGAATGAGGAGGAGTCTATTCAGTTTGTGGATGATATTGAGAAAGCTGAGGAGCAATATTGCAACTGGGATGAGCACTCGTCTCCATTCTTGTAAGCCTGGCATACAAATGACACCTTTCATAGACCTGGTAAAATTTCACCTTCAAGTAGGGTTAAACAGTTTTGCCAAAACTGGGGATAGCTCTGAGCTAAGGTTCTTAAGAACAACTGCAGGAATTTTACCTGGACCAATAATTGTTGTATTAATTAACTCCAAATTAATTGCTTATATTATTTGCATTTGGATTAAATTTCTCAGTTTTATTATGGTTCAACTGTGGTGCTGTCTTACCTTATTCAGATGTCTGCTGCTCTAGGTAACCTTCAGGAAACTTTGAACTGAATCCTTTATTTAATCGATGGTGGTAGATTCTGCTCACTTCACTATCCATATCTAGGGTGTAGCAATTAAATTATTCCTTTCCTTGTTGAATGAAATGCCTATGAGTTGCATGTATTCTCTGCCAAAAACAATTTAAAAGAAAAAATTCAGTGTCTCTAACTTATTGGAAAAATAAAATCAATAAATATAATAATAATGAATAATTAAAAGAAAAAATACATTTTTCCATGATGCTAAGAGTAAAATGAACTGTAAATATGATTACTCTACTTGGCTTCAAAAATGTTATATGGCAGTGTTGAATCCTATAAAAAAGGAAAACATTTCTTGCCTCACTCTCTTTCTCCTCTTTGTTCTAATATGTGAACCATGTTGTAATTACATTCCCATTGGGGAATGTTAATTTCCTCAGTCCACTGATGACTGAACTCTCTTCCCACATTCCAATACATGGCATTTGCACATGTCTTCCAAAAACCTCAATCTATGAAGTAGGCTTATATCGACTTCTGGACCAAGAAAACAGACAACCCTGTTTAAAGTAAGAAACTTTCTTTAGTTGTTCCAACTCTGAGCAAAGCTGACTTGAGTTTGACCATGAATGTGATGCTTATACTTACCTACCCTAACTTCTGGACCAGAAAGAGAATGGATATACTCAAGAGACAATGAGGACTTTTCATTCACTACAGTCACCATAAAAAGAATAAACATCTAGTAGAAACTCCAGTTTTTGTAGGCTTCTATTTTTCTGTTATCTATTTAACACACACCCACATAAAATATACAAACCCTACAATTTTTTTTACCTCCATAAACATGCCCATGATTGGTTAGATCAAAATTTGCATTTCGGGTACCTATAGAAACTTTTACATTTGAGTGATGATTTATATCTTCATTGCTCATGTGTGTTCATACATGTTTAAATTTTGTGACTGTTGAATTTTTGATGGCTTTCACAAATTCTTCCATGTACATAGGGTGCTTGTCTTTTCAATTATTGTTTGCCCTATTTCCATCAAGTCTCTCTGTACTACTCAGCCCAGGAATTGAACTTGTAATTACAATGTTGCCCAAATTCTATGTTGTAATTTTCTTAATGCTTAATTGTGTCATAATTTATGACTAGACATTACAAAGCAATTGTTAATACAAGGATTCATCTAAAAATTACAATGAACTGAAGTCAGTTTCATTATAGTTAGTTTATTGCAACTGAATATCAGCAGAAAGATTTGAATGAATATAAATTTTAAAATGTTTCAAATAAAACTATTTGTAGCCTTTAAACAGCAATATTTATAATAGAGAAATGAAGAGGTTTTTTTTTTTTTTTTTTTTTTATCATTTCACCCCAAGCAAGGTGAAACTGCAACTTGGACGCAGGAGATTACAGAAAGTGAAAGAATGAGAAGACTTTAATGAGGAAAAGGACGAAGAAATATAATTTGAAAGACAGATGGTGATTGATGTTGCATTTCAATTTTTGAAGATTGTAGGTGGCAGGGAAGCAAGAAATTTGAAGTTCCACAGGCAAGAAAAATTGTTAGACAATTGCATCTTGCTAGTTCAACATTGAGACTTATTTACAATCTAGTAGCATGCATAAATTCATGCAGTCAAGGCACTGAGGAAAGCTCATCAGAACAATAGCCATGAAAATATTTGTAGAAAACAGAAGGAAGTCATGTCATCTTGGCAAGAAAATGACAGCAGTTGAGATGTCAGGGTCGAATACATTACAGACCATTCTGTGAATTCTATCAAGAATCTTGAGATGTATATAACAGGAGCACCAGACTAGATATGGCAGCCATATTCAATGCACTGATGAATGGCAGATGAAATACTTCCAGTGACTGTTGCTTATTAATGACAGATATCTGACTAAACGGTATTCCATTCAAGATGTTTGTATCTCATTACTTAGATTTGTTTATATTGGATTAGCTGGTATCTAAAGGATAACAGCTTCAGATTCATAAGAAGTACTAAAAAATAAATTACATTCTCTGCTTTTAAGGAAAATGTTTTATGTGACTATTTTAGTCAAGCACTCACCTTTAAAATAATGATCAAAAGATTTCCTTTAGACTGTCATTAATTTTGTCTTTGCAATGTATTCATGAACTTGTTGATGATATTTTTATAAATATAATGCTCTTTAATTTCAGTCTTTTCACTTTTCTTTAACTTTATTTCACTTTTCTTTCCAGAATCATGGTACTTGATAATGGGATCATAAAAGAATTTGATTCTCCTCAAAACCTCCTCAGCAATAAACAGTCTATATTTCATGGGATGGCTAAAGATGCTGGACTTGTCTCTTGATAATTTCTGTCCTAATAATTCTTTTTTGCTGCTTCATTGTAAATAACTTAATATTTCTTTCAAATGCTGAAAATTTTTGACAAACTAACACTGACTTTAAAATTTTTACATAAAAAGAAAAATAACTACAAAGATTTTCCAAGATTAGTTTTTAAGTGTTAAGGATTGGTTAAAATTTTTCAGTTATTGTAAAGATAATATCTTTGAAAAGAAAGCTGTGTTTTACTTTTACTTTTTACATAGCTTTCTTTTATTATTTTCTCATTCTTGGCAAAATTTTGTGTTGCTATTTCATTGATAAGGGCTGAACAGTGTAGATCTTGTTCAATATTAAACATTGCTTAATTTTTTATATATATAATTCTCATCTTCACAAAGTAATGGATTTACTTGTATTGTGGATAGTTCCAAAACTCCTTCTGTATCATGTTAGCTATTTAAATGACAAACTATATAAATGAATTTGTTTGACTTATCCTTCCAGAAAACGTTTTTAATTGGGGGTAGTTTCTAGTTTACTAAATAAGTTCAATTTTAAATTTTGATATTTTATGCTGATACTTGAAGTGTTAAAGATCACTTGTTAAACCAAAAGGTTCAGACTTTGGCTGTAAGATTTTCATGAAAAGAAACTTTTGGTAAGATGAAACTATTTATTTCATAAAATTGCCAGAACAAAATTTTGTTTCATTGCTATTAAAGTCTTAAAAGTTCTAAGTTGCTAACATTTCTTTGGTTAGCACCAAATATATTTTATTGACTTTAAAGAAAAAAGGACAAGTAGATAATGTTTGTTTTGAATATCTCTCAAACCTTTTCACCATATTTCAAAATATGTCCATTTATCTAAGATTTCAAAAATTGAACTGGGGCGTATTAGTTTTATATTTAGATGATAATTGATATGTAAAGTGTTATTGAGCTTCTTTAACACTGCATACTCAGTAACCACTTGTGTCTTAGTGGCGTTATTGCCTTGCTTGGGATGAAATGATTAAAAAAAAAAATAATACAAATGAACCACAAAGTTATCAAATCTAATGAATTGATTTATCCAATTTTTTTTTTAATTTTTATATTGATTAACAGTAGATAATTTTTTATAATAGCTGTAATTGAAAAACCATAAGTATTACATCCTTGTTAACATTAAAAACTGATTCTAAAACTCTCCATTTAAGAGATATTTATTCTCTAATTATATTTGACTAGATTAACCCAGTTTTAAGTTTAAACTTAATCAAAACTTTTAAGTTAATGATTTATCATATTTTAAAGTCTGTTTTAGGGACTGGTCTCTTTTTTTTTTTTTTTTTTTTTTTTTTATCATAATGTTCTGCCACTGATTCTGAAATGATTCTTTGCAACAAATTTTCCTAGAATCATTTCAGAATATTGTTCTCCATTTACAAGATTGTAATTCAGAAAGCATTGGAAAATTGTACTTTGTAGAAAGATAAACATTCCAGCAGATTGAATTGCTAAATCTGTGGTATTTTGGTGAAAGTGAAAATTCACCTCTCCACTCAACTGTCAAGAACCACAGAAATCACTTTCCTTGATACCTATATAATCATTTTATTTTAAATAACTTGCATACATTTATTTGGATAATGATACTACATTGTACTTTGCTTTTTGTAGCCTCCATTAGAATTTTTTTTTTTTTGTACTCTTTCCCCTATGGGTTTAATTTGTTTTGTGTTTTTTTTTTTTTTTTTTTTTTTTTTTTTTTTTTTTTTAAGCCAAAACATTTGACTTTGTCAAAATTATTTAGCATCAGAAAACAAATAACTAAAAATAATCAGAACAAATGAAAATCTGTTACAATAAATAATTTGTTTGATATCTATAATTGTGTATGTATTTAATTTTTTTTTTTTTTTTTATTGAATGTAAAATACTCTCTCAAGAACTATAAATTTTGTGAGGGGAGGGAACTTTTGTAAATCACTGACATGGATATTAATTATTTTAAAGCTGTCTAATGCCAAACAAAACATTTAAAACTTTGATATGAAAAAATACAAATTAGATTTTTTTGTTTTGTTCTCCACAAACATTAAAACATACCACTTAAAGATTGGAAATAATTTTGCTTAATCCTTTTACAAAAATTGAAATGAATTCACAGAAATGCCTTTTTAACATATAATCCCTTATGCCCTTAACAAAGTAGAAGGCAGCTTTAACCCCCCCTCAACCTCCAAAGAATGAAAGAAGAATGTTATCAATGATAAAAGCAACAGCAAATATGTGCTGTCATATTAGTGGTTCAAGATGTGATGTTATCAGTTGACTTCTTAAAATGGTGTTCATTGATCTAACAATTGTAAATTAGCTTTTAACTCAAATTGTAGGATACAGTTCTTGGAGTCATCACCTTTCACTACCTTGACAATTGTCATTCAAGAATTATCAGATTTTGATTTGCCAAATTATCAGCTTTAACTGTTGCCATGGATATTTGAACCCTTACTTAATTCTGTTTTTTTAGTTAACATTAAAATGTGTTACATAAGTCTTTCACCAGCTTTTTTTCTCGTTATTCTAGTTATTTTTTCTATATTGTCATTTGTGTTGTGAATAGAATTTTTTTTTTATAGCAAAAATTACAAGTTCACTGCTGTAAAGCAGAAACTGGGCCTGGTATTTCTATATTTATATAACTTTGTGTGCATTAATTAGTTAAATAATATACAGCATGTGCATTTTGTGGTAAATGTCTAATACTTGAAGTGAAAGTCAGGAAATGTGAATTTCAGTAGTTAATATCATTTAATCAGGTTTTTAATATTGCATATGTTCACAAATATTTACATTGAACAAATGATTGTCAAAGTGTATGTTTTTACTTTTCTTTAAAGTTTAATCATTTATATTATGTAAGTTTAACATCTTTTTGCAAACATCTATTTTTATCAAAGGAAAAGGTTATATTTCGATAGTTTATTCTATAAGATAAATGTACTTTTTATGTTTGTAAAGTGTTCCATATTTATTTTCCTTTTACTCACTGTTCAGATCACTGCATTTTGTGTGTGGTTACTTTATTTTTCATATTGGTGCTATATAAATCTTAAGGCTTATTTTTGTATAAAGTCATTAATTGATTATTATTATGTTGGTAATTGTAATATTAACTGTTTCCTATCGATATACAGAATCGTATACGTCTGGCAAAGACCCCAATACTGAAACATTTCAAACCTCATCAGGAGTACAACAAAGAGGTATAGTCTATTTTATACTAGACTATACACTGCATATTTACAAAAACATGTGATTAAATGGGCTCTGACCATCTAAGCATTCCATACCACATCTCAAATGAGTCTACTATAGAAGACAACGATCCTGCTTTTTCTCTTGAAGCCAATGCACTGATGATGAATAGGGCTATGCTGATGATTGAGGTATTTATAGTTGGGATAAGAAAATCCACATCCTCTATCAAGTGTTCCAAGAAATGGGACTCAAGATAAACCTTTCCAAAACAGGAACTATGATTTGGAATTGGAATGAAAGCAGTGATGGCACCTACCCTGAATCCATCATAAAAAATCAGGGTGTGGAATTAGTAAATACTAAACACTTCAGATACCTTGGCAAGGAAAAACTCTTGGATAAAATTCATAAAATCTTGTTCAAATAATTCTTCAGGAAAAGTGGTCTCTTCACTACAGTAGCTGTTATCACTCTTTACAGTATTGGAGACTTCCTTCCTACCTTTGTAGTGTAGAATGTCAGCATTTTGATAAAAGTTAAATGTGCTGTTCATTTTAGTTGTTGCTGCTGTTGAAAGTCCTCAAGTTTTCTGTTATCTGGTATAGTACAAGCGTTTGATTCTGTAGCTTTAACCATTGATTGGAGAAAGTGGTTGTATCCAGCTAACAGTTTAGCTATCCTCTGAACGATTTTGTTGCCACATGAAATTCTCAATCTGACAAGATTATTTAAGAACAAAGTCAGTTTTTTTTTTTTTTTTTTTTGGTTTTATTTTCTTGCAGTGTTGTGGTAGAACTACCCCTAGTGCAGCCTATTCTATGTTCACTTTCCTATACTAAATTTATTATAACTGATCCATATACTGAGGTATTTAAAGTTTAGCACTTACTAATTCCACATCCTAAATTTTTATGACAGATTCAGAGTGCCATCAGTGCTTTCATTTCAATTCCAGATCATTGTTTCTGTTTTGGAAAGGTTTCTTAAGTCGTATTTCTTGGAACACCTGGTAGATGTTGAATTTTTTTTTTTTTGTTCAAGAACCTTCTTGTCACAACTAAGAATACTAATGTCATTGGCAGCGCCCCTGACCTATTCTTT